AAAATTTCGAAAAATTTCAAAACGATATTTAGGCAATGTTTTGAATGAGGAAAGTTGCTTATGGGTTCGCTGATTACAAAATGGTACTTTCTTTCCTGATCGGATACAAATTGGCAGAGCTATGGCAATCGGAAGGAGGAAAAGTGTGGATATTTGGAAAACCCACAATATTGTAGGGGAACCCCTTGGAAAAAATTCGAAAAATTCAAAAACGATATTTAAGCAATGTTTTGAATAAGGAAAGTTGCTTTTGGGTTCGCTGATTACTAAATAGTACTTTCTTTCCTGATCGGATACAAATTGGCAGAGCTATGGCAATCGGAAGGAGGAAAAGTGTGGATATTTGGAAAACCCACAATATTGTAGGGGAACCCCTTGGAAAATTTCAAAAATTTAAAAACGATATTTAAGCAATGTTTTGAATGAGGAAAGTCGCTTTCGGGTTCGCTGATTACTAAATGGTACTTTCTTTCTTGATCGGATACAAATTGGCAGAGCTATGGCCATCGGAAGGAGGAAAAGTGTGGAAATTGGGAAAACCCACAATATTGTAGGGGAACCCCTTGGAAAAAATTCGAAAAATTTAAAAACGATATTTAAGCAATGATTCCTAAATGGTACTTTCTTTCCTGATCGGATACAAATTGGCAGAGCTATGGCAATCGGAAGGAGGAAAAGTGTGGAAATTGGGAAAACCCACAATATTGTAGGGGAACCATTAGGAAAAATTTCGAAAAATTTCAAAACGATATTTAGGCAATGTTTTGAATGAGGAAAGTTGCTTATGGATTCGCTGATTACAAAATGGTACATTGTTTCCCGATCGGATACAAATTAGCTGAGCTATGGCCATCGGAAGGAGCAAAAGTGGGAAATTGCGAAAATCCACATTTTTGCAGGGGTACCCCTAGGAAAAATTTCGAAAAATTTCAAAACGATATTTAGGCAATGTTTTGAATGAGGAAAGTTGCTTATGGGTTCGCTGATTACAAAATGGTACATTGTTTCCCGATCGGATACAAATTAGCTGAGCTATGGCAATCGGAAGGAGGAAAAGTGTGGATATTTGGAAAACCCACAATATTGTAGGGGAACCCCTTGGAAAAAATTCGAAAAATTCAAAAACGATATTTAAGCAATGTTTTGAATAAGGAAAGTTGCTTTTGGGTTCGCTGATTACTAAATAGTACTTTCTTTCCTGATCGGATACAAATTGGCAGAGCTATGGCAATCGGAAGGAGGAAAAGTGTGGATATTTGGAAAACCCACAATATTGTAGGGGAACCCCTTGGAAAATTTCAAAAAATTTAAAAACGATATTTAAGCAATGTTTTGAATGAGGAAAGTCGCTTTCGGGTTCGCTGATTACTAAATGGTACTTTCTTTCTTGATCGGATACAAATTGGCAGAGCTATGGCCATCGGAAGGAGGAAAAGTGTGGAAATTGGGAAAACCCACAATATTGTAGGGGAACCCCTTGGAAAAAATTCGAAAAATTTAAAAACGATATTTAAGCAATGATTCCTAAATGGTACTTTCTTTCCTGATCGGATACAAATTGGCAGAGCTATGGCAATCGGAAGGAGGAAAAGTGTGGAAATTGGGAAAACCCACAATATTGTAGGGGAACCATTAGGAAAAATTTCGAAAAATTTCAAAACGATATTTAGGCAATGTTTTGAATGAGGAAAGTTGCTTATGGATTCGCTGATTACAAAATGGTACATTGTTTCCCGATCGGATACAAATTAGCTGAGCTATGGCCATCGGAAGGAGCAAAAGTGGGAAATTGCGAAAATCCACATTTTTGCAGGGGTACCCCTAGGAAAAATTTCGAAAAATTTCAAAACGATATTTAGGCAATGTTTTGAATGAGGAAAGTTGCTTATGGGTTCGCTGATTACAAAATGGTACATTGTTTCCCGATCGGATACAAATTAGCTGAGCTATGGCCATCGGAAGGAGCAAAAGTGGGAAATTGCGAAAATCCACATTTTTGCAGGGGTACCCCTAGAAAAAATTTCGAAAAATTTCAAAACGATATTTAGGCAATGTTTTGAATGAGGAAAGTTGCTTATGGGTTCGCTGATTACAAAATAGTACATTGTTTCCCGATCGGATACAAATTGGCAGAGCTATGGCCATCGGAAGGAGGAAAAGTGTGGAAATTGGGAAAACCCACAATATTGTAGGGGAACCCCTTGGAAAAAATTCGAAAAATTCAAAAACAATATTTAAGCAATGTTTTGAATAAGGAAAGTCGCTTTTGGGTTCGCTGATTACTAAGTGGTACTTTTTTTCCTGATCGGATACAAATTGGCAGAGCTATGGCCATCGGAAGGAGGAAAAGTGTGGAAATTGGGAAAACCCACAATATTGTAGGGGAACCCCTTGGAAAAAATTCGAAAAATTTAAAAACGATATTTAAGCAATGTTTTGAATGAGGAAAGTCGCTTTCGGGTTCGCTGATTACTAAATGGTACTTTCTTTCCTGATCGGATACAAATTGGCAGAGCTATGGCCATCGGAAGGAGGAAAAGTGTGGAAATTGGGAAAACCCACAATATTGTAGGGTAACCCCTTGGAAAAAATTCGAAAAATTCAAAAACGATATTTAAGCAATGTTTTGAATAAGGAAAGTTGCTTTTGGGTTCGCTGATTACTAAATAGTACTTTCTTTCCTGATCGGATGCAAATTGGCAGAGCTATGGCCATCGGAAGGAGGAAAAGTGTGGAAATTTGGAAAACCCACAATATTGTAGGGGAACCCCTTGGAAAAAATTCGAAAAATTTAAAAACGATATTAAAGCAATGTTTTAAATAAGGAAAGTTGCTTTTGGGTTCGCTGATTACTAAATGGTACTTTCTTTCCTGATCGGATACAAATTGGCAGAGCTATGGCCATCGGAAGGAGGAAAAGTGTGGAAATTGGGAAAACCCACAATATTGTAGGGTAACCCCTTGGAAAAAATTCGAAAAATTCAAAAACGATATTTAAGCAATGTTTTGAATAAGGAAAGTTGCTTTTGGGTTCGCTGATTACTAAATAGTACTTTCTTTCCTGATCGGATGCAAATTGGCAGAGCTATGGCCATCGGAAGGAGGAAAAGTGTGGAAATTGGGAAATGTTTTGGGAAATGTTTTATATACATTAAAAAGTTTATACAAGTTAAAAGTTTATAAACTATATAACAGTACAGCAATAATAAACAAATAAGCCTCTTAAATATTCTTTCTTTGGCTAGAAATTGCTGGCATAATTATTATAAATAAAAATAAAAACAATTAAAAATAAAATCAGATAAATTTTACAAGCAGATGCCCTCCTGGAAAATTTAAAAATGACAATTTTGTAAGCCACTTACACTTGATAGACTAGTATTTGAGCTTGTGATTTTAGGCGACGATTGAACCATTTTCATAGCCACTTGAAGAAATAACAATGAAATGTGTGGCAATTGTGGCAGCCACCCCCTCTTCCTTATACTGCCACTGCTCCGGCCTCTTGGGGCATGGCTACCAGCCGTTTAACACTAACTAAGCCGCTTACTTTCTCTCCGACTCTCTAATGCAACAACAAAAGGAAAGCCAGTCCAGGGAAGACACGACAAAAAAAGGAAAAATCGGGAAAAATAATGCGCTGTCCCATGGAGAGGGGGGTGTAGAATGGATGGTGGTGGTGGGCGAGTGGTGCGGAGTGGTGGTTCAGTGGCGCAGTCGGTGGTGGCCGGACAAGTTAAGAAATCAAACAGCTGACATAAATAACATTTTAATTTAAATACGGCAGGACAAAACAATATTTTTTTGCCGTTAAGGTAAGCAGAAGGTACAATAACAACGATTTGGGGGGAGGGACAGCCAGGACGACAAGGACAACAAGGACAGCGGCCAGCTACAACAAGAAAAAAAGCTGAGAAAGGTAGAAAAAAAATACATATTTAAACAGGATCTAGGCTGAGAAGCAAACAAAATTAAACAGCGAAACATGGAGGGTGCATGAGTGTGTGTGTGTGGGTGAAAGTGGGAGAAAGTAGCCGGAAAAAAGTGGGATGAGGGGTGGGAAGACGCAGTCAACAGTGGGGAAGTAAATTTTATTTTAAAATAAATTTATCGCCTTATCCGTTGTCCACGGCAGCCGCGGCACAGGAACAGCTCCTGAAACAGGCCCAGGACCAGAAGCAGGACCTTCTCCTTCTGCTTTCACTTCCCTTGCTAGCCGAAAAGGTAGATACTCTTTCTAACAAGGTTTGTAGGTATATTTTTTAACATTACAGTACTTATATTGAATATATATAATCTTAAATAAATAAGCATTAATCGAAAACTAGCTATTAGTTCCTTAAATATTAAATATTTTAGGTTATATATTTCAAAGAAATATTCCAAAAACATCATTGATTTAATAACAAAAACCCTTAACCACTTTTTCAAACAATACTTCAAAAAAATATCTTATGAAAGAGTATTTTTTAAATATTCTTAAAAACATCTTTAGATTTTTTCTTGAATACTTTTCGTTATGTTTTGGTTTACAGGATGCAGGATGCCCCATAGCGGCAATTGCCGGACAGCCGTGGAACACATGAGCCCAGGAGGTGGGACTCGGACTTGGAGGTGGAAATGGAAGTAGACTTGTAGGTGGAAAAGTGGTTGGGGGAGTGGCAAAGCAAACTGCCACCCGCTGGCAGCTGGACAAGGACACCGATACCGTCACGACTGCGGATGTGGCGGCGAGTGCGGATGAGGATGTGGATGTGGATGCGGAGTCCCAGCACGAGAGCTTCATTTGAACGAAATGAAATCATAATGAGATTTTTGCGTTCGTTTTTTGTCGCCGCAGAGGAGAGAAATTTTGAACCGAAGGGACTGGGATTGGAAATGTTTAAATGAGATATTGTTAGAGGGGGGAAGCATGGCTTCTTTTTTCCAAGGGGGGGAGTCAATCTGCGGAAGCAGCAATTGCCAGAGCCAGTGACAGGGCCAGTGCCATTGCCATAGCCATGACCATGGTAATGACAAAAAATTCATAATTGGATAAAGAAGCGGACGTGTCCCGTCCGAGAAGCACAGCTCCAGATTGAAATTCAACAGCTTTTAAAGGAAATGTCCTTGAATCTGGGCATTAGCATTCCTAAACAGGACATCTCATTGTATAAAAATATTATCTAAAAGCTTTAAAACAAAGCCCTTGCTCAGAAGTATCATGCAACAATCACAGTCTTTTTTCCTTAATTATCAGAAGCAATTAAAAGGTCCTTAAATACTAGCTCATAAATTCGGGATGCGTAGGAATATGAGATGGTAAATCAAACCGAATTGCGGCTCATAAAATGGCAATTTAATGGCATTCCCGGCCATTTGGCCCAATCTCCACCTTCTCCTCCTTCTCCTCCTTCTCAGACAGTCCTGTTAACTCCTCAACCTTATCCTCATCCTGCTCCATCGTCCTTGCAGAAAAAAAATGGGGCCTTATGGCAATTGTGCACTTGATTGTTAGCGACTTGTTGGGCAGCCAACAGGGCGAAGCTTTAGGATCTGGAGCCCAGACCGCAATCCGTAATCCGCATACCGCAATCCGTATACCGCATACCGCCTGCCATATGGCCGGAGAATGTTGTTGTTGCTGCTCCGGTTCTGTTTTTTTAGTCCATTGTTGTTATTGTTGGCCATGCAAATGCCTGGCATTCGGATGCACTCGCGCGTAATCCGCAGCCGGCAATCGAAAGACTTGACTTGAGAATGCACTTGACTCGAAATGAAAGAATCTGAAAAGAGCACAACGAAAAAAAATATATATCCCAGTGGGTGGGTGCACCAAGAAGCCCGAGGGGTGGCCAGTCCACCCAACTTACCCCACAAAATAACAATGAAAATCACTCGGAACGGTTTGGAAAAAAGAGTGGGCGCGGTTTCTGCATCTCATAGTCTGCATCTGAAAAATAATTGAAATATTTATTTAAATAATATAATGAAACAAAAATATACTACCTGGGGTAAACAATACTCTGCTTTAGCAGAGTATTTGTACCGCATGGTACTACATCTCCCTTTTTTCCCCAAAAAACCTTAAAACGAAACTGAAATCTTAAGTACCCCATTACCCTTAATGTACACTTTTGGACAAAATATAGTTTATTTATTTATTTATTTATATAATATTTAAATAAAAATGCGTATAACTTGACTGATATTTGACAGATGTAGAAGGGTTATTCCACCCTGATCTTATAACTATAAGATTCTTATATAATCATTCTTAATCAAAACCTGGTAATGAATATTTTGACACTTTTTTTTGCAATTTTTAAAGGGGTATCATAATGATTTTCACCAAAAATGAGACAAATTTTTAATTGGTTGATATTTGCTATATTTTAAAACACCATAAATGATTAATCCATTTTTAGTTTGTTAGGTAAACAGGTAAAATATTTACAAACGTCTATCAAAAATAAATATTTTGAAACAATACAAAACGTCAAAACCTTGTTATCAGCTCAATTTTCTGAAAAATGTTCATAGCTCGACATATATTTGGGAGATTAGAAAATTGTATAACTTTTAGATCCTAAAACTCAGAGACTCATCATTCTAAAATTGACGAAATCGACGACCTCATGGAGTTAAGTAAGTAATATATAATAAGTAATAAAAGGAATCTCCACCACAATACTCTCTGGCGGATGTGGAGGACACCAAGCTAGCTGAAACGGAGAGCGATAATCAGAATAGGGCATATGGAAATTGGAATATGTGGGCCAACAATTGGAATAGCCTAGAAACTGTTGGTGGCTGGTGGCGGTCCTTTGCGCCCAACTCCCTGCCACCTGTCCCTATGCCCATAGTGATAGATGAAGACGATATGAGAGCACATGTCCAGAGAGGCAGAGTAGAAAGCGTTTTCTATGATTATGAAGAACCTCCACCCCCTCCATTTCACATTCCACAAATGCATCTGGAAGACGAAGATGCTCGAAATGCTATGCATATGGTCGATCATTATCCAAATCATAGCTATATAACTGTTATGCAGTCAGTTTCCATGGAAAACAGGCAGACACGTATGCGATCACATACCGAGTCTAGTGACGAAGAAGCGGATGCTCTGCGATCTTTTCTCCTCTCCAGCTTGCGTTCAAATAAACCCTCTCAGCCTCCTCGACCCACACCTGTAAGACAAGCCCCTCCGCCACCTAAGATTTTCCGACCTTCGACCCTTCCGCCATCCGCCATTAATCTTCTCAGAGAAGGTTTGAACGCAAGCTATGAGTCGGATGACCCAGAAGAACTGCGTTCATTTCTTCTCTCCAGCATAGCAACGAGGAAAGCTGTCAAAGCTCGTTGCAATTTTGGCGCCTTCCCCTCCAAAAAAAAAGACGATCCGGCAAGGAAACAGCATCTCATTCCCCCTGTCATAAAAAAATCTGATAACCAGAAAGAATCGCCTATCGAAAGTGTCTCAGAACCCCCACCAACTTCAATCGCAGCAACCTTTGACAAGCCTGTGACTTATAAATTCATAAATCAAACTTCACTCTCTCCGAAAATCATCAGAATCGTAAAAAAGAATAAGGTGATAAATAGAAAGGCAACTGCAAAAAGAAAAATGCCAGTAAATAAGGCGTTATATACAAGATCAAGAACCAAACGTCCGTCAACGCTTATGGTCAAAGAACCTAACGCTCCACTTCACAGTAGTTGGAAAACTGCGTCCAGCACCCGCCTTATTAAAAACATGGATCCAGCTACCATCAAGGTGAAGAAATTGGTCATCAGCTTGGCAGAAGAATCGGCAGCCAGCGACGACGATTTGGAGCTGAACTCCATTGCCTACACCAGTTGCGGAAATACAGCCGGTCCGCTGAGCCTGGCCACGGAAAGTGCTAGTGGTTCAACCATCCGATCCAACACTCCCTTGTCCGAGATTGGGAATACGAATCCCGCACCCAATACCAACCTGACGAGAACTGTCATCAACGATCATTTTAATCAAAAGATTAATGACTACCTAAAACAAGCCAGATCCCAGGCACCTGCGACCAGTTCGCCGAAGACGACTCTTAAGAAAATGCCCGAGAAACCAAAGGTGGCCGGAAAGCGAAAAGTTTCGCTTTCCTCTCCGATGCGTCCTACAAAAATTTCGCCCGGGGCTGTGAAGCATTTGCCGGTGGCTTCCCAGAAGGAGTACCTGCGTTTGATCGAGCGAATGCAAGTTCTGGAAAAGAAGAAACAATTGGAAGCTAAAGCTAGTTCTTCCACTAAATCGGGGCCAAACCCTGCTGGGGATAAGCCTCCAGATGCCAAAGTACCAATGCCGAATCCCAACCCAAATGCACCATCAGAAAGCCGGCTAAAGGCATTCGAGAATGCGGTTAAAAAAGTCGGAGGCAACATGATAACCAATCTGGACAAGTCACTGAATCTGGTGGAGGAAGCCACGAAGTCAAAGACGATCCAACTGGAATGTTCGCAGCGTCTAAGGGAATTGTATGCGGAAATGCAGTCTGTGAAGGAGGTGGGCAAGCAGGAAGAATTGAAGCTGTCTCAGATTGAGCCAGAGATTCAGACCAACCGCGAGACAATCATATCTCTGAATCAGGAACGCCACAAACTCCACACCAGGGCCATGGTTCTGGGCCGTGACTTAGGGGGCGATGACTACAAGTTACTCGACGAGAGTAAGGCGACTATCACGGAAAAATCCACTCAATTATCCAAGGAAATTCGTCTCTACAATTCCATCGTGAAGTACGATGACCTGAAGAATCTGACTGCTGGAGATCCTCAGCCAAAATCTGTGATTGAACAGGAAGAAGAGCCTTCTGGAAAAAAGCCCCCGGAATTGGAAGCTTCGGATGCAAACAAATCTGGCACCGGGCGGAAACCAATGCCTCAGGATAATCCGGGGCAGAGCCTCACCGAACCGGGACCCTTCTTTGTGATCAGGATGCGGGAGCTAAGGAAGAAGACGGCTAAAAAGGTGGGATCACTCAAGAACCAAATTTTCTTAACCTACCAATCGCCCATGTCACGCAACTACAACAGCGACCTTGATCCCCACGCCATCATGTGTCCCTTCGATCTGATGGGAATCTGCCAGGATGTGGATTGCATCTACCTGCATTTACCTCGCCCCGATGGACGAACACACATCCAACGACGTACCTCAGGACTAATATCTAACAACCAACCAGAAAATAAACAAGCTGAAATTAAAAACCCTACAACTCAAATTCAAAGAAAACGGAAGAGGATGTCCAGATGGCAGCCAATAAGCGAAATCACAAAGATAAATTGAACAAAGGTTGTACCTTGTTTTTGTTATATAATATATATTTATATAAAATTCCCATATATTTATCTCATTTATTTAGACTCCATCCCGTGTACTGCAAGTTCCGAAGATCACCGGCGCTCCAAGACGATTTTTGGGCTTCAATACGAACGGATACGGAAATAAATAATTTAAAATATATTTAATTTAAAATTATTTAAAATATAATTTGGATTTATTCTTGATTATGAGGCACACGTTATTATACTACAGCAGAGAAGACCAAAACCACCTAACTTCGATTCAAATATCATTGTCATTTTATAATCATTTTTATAACATACATTTGTAGTTATAATAAAGGAATAAAAAAAAAATTAATTTCCAAATTTTCTATGCGGCAACATCATGATGTTGGTGAAAAAATAGGCTAATAGGCTTATTTTTTGAATCTTCAGGTTGGATGAAAAATTATTTTCTGATTCATAAATAGTATAATCAGATAGCTTTTTATGGCCAAAAATGAATCAACCTTTATAACAAAAGTGAAAAATTTAAAAAATAAATTGCGTTGCAAATTAATTAAATGTTTTAATTGGGGAGTTTGACGTAATGATAACTCATTGTTTATTACTTTCTTAAGTTTTCACAAATCTCTTTATTCCAAATTTTAAAAAGGATTCGCAGCCTAGCAAAATTTTAAATTACCTATCAACAATAATGGGATATTGAATTTAAAATCGAATAGTTTTAAAACTTGAATACAAAAAATAAAACTAACTTTATATAAATATGCGAGAGATATTTTAAAAATAACCCCTTTAAAACTATGCTCTCTTATTTCCTTGTAAAGTTAAAAAAATAACCATTACCCTTTGGGATTTTTCTTTTTTGGAAATGGAGGAGTATGTAGAGTGTGCGATTTGTATTAAATCGTGCTGAATAACTAAATTTGCCAACTGGCTCTTCCCCGTCAGTCGTTGGTAATTGTATTAACTACACAAGTACAGTGGATGGGTGTGTGTGAGCCTCAGCTGCCACAACTAATTAGCCGGGCCCACATGCATAGGCGAACTGCGTTAATGGAGTGCGTAATGGGTTAATTTTGGGCCCGGGAATGACGCTCGCTTCGCCCACGTCCTGATCCTGCCACTCCTCCTACACCTCCTCCACCTTCACCACCGCCTCCATCCTTATATCCGTCTGTCAATGTTTGCACTTTTGTTTAGCAAAAGGACAGAAGGCAAATGGGTGGTTTTGGGTGGATTTGGATGGGTTTGAGATGGTTTCGGGGGGGTCTGGGTGGTTGAAGCTCCCGTGGAACGTGTCGACGTCACAGTCAAAGTCGGATTCAGATTCTGCTTCTGATTCTGATCCAGATCCTGCACAGTGGAGTAACCGCGTTGACGACAAGTTAATCACATCGTGTCCAATCAGGCGAGCTAATCCCTCTGACAGGCTTCGACACTACCCCGCCTCCTCCTGGCCGGCTCATCCTTCGGCCTCTCTCCCGGCCTGCCACTTTCATTTTGACTTTGGACTATTTCCTCATCGCTATTTATTTTGATATTTTCATGCCAATACCCTTACCAGTGATAGGGTCTGTAGAGCTTGGAGTTCAATGTGTGGGAGTAGCAGAAAATTATTAGAATATTGTATCATTAGAAATATGTATAAAAAGCATTGTAACAGACACGGAGGGATATAAATATACATAATAAACCAGGATTTAATTTAAATTAAAATATTTAATACAATTCTATAAATAATTTCCCATAATTTTACACTCAAAAGTGAACAATACTAACGCATATCATTAAAAACTTAATGACTACAAGGTAAAACAGGAAGGTTTCGTACACATATGTATCTAATAGTTTCTTTTAATTTAAGAAAAAGTATAATTAAATTATTAATAAACATAATTTAGATAAGCTTTTTAAAAACATCTTTAGAGTGTTTAAATTTAATGTTATTTATTTATTTATTTATTTATCTAAATTATTTGTAATGGAAATTCAAAATAGTTCTTAAAAATGAACCAAATCTAAAGATACAAAGGCTTACACCTCTCATACACTTATGCAAAATTATATTTCTTAATTATAGAGTATTCAAAATCCGCCTTGAATAAAACCAAACCCCCGAAAGACTCTGATTATTATTACTATTATGGATGTAAACCTCGCAACATCTGCTGCATATCAATTTGTGTCCTTCGAACGCTGAACGCTTAACCTGATCCATGTCAGGTCGCCAGGACATAAGCCCATTGAAATACAAAAACAGAAAGCCAAAAAAAAAAACAAGTTCTGGCATCCTTGTGCATTCTGCTGGCCAACAAGTTTTTCTCTCTGGGTTATTGGACTTGGACTTAGGCGGCTAAGCCCGTTCCGGACATTGGCAATTTGCATTTCCCCGAATATTTCCTCTGCCAAGAGCTTCCATGAATTTTCATGAAATTTTCCGTCGATTCGACATCATCGACATGATTTCCTAGTGGCCAATTATCGCTTAAGCTTTTGGATTTTTTTCTGTTTTGGTTTTAGGCCTTTTAAAGTTGAGAGAAAATAATAAAAGGGACTGACTTTGGGGCCTGTTTAAAAATTCGTTTAAATTCCATTGCCGAAAGTGGCTTTCTCCCTTGGCGGGCCAAAAAAAAAGTCAAAGGAAAGTGGAGAGAAATACAAAAAAAAAGGCTGGGAAAATATGCAGCAACCGCGAAATTGAAATTTTGGCTTCGCCAGTCGCCGCGGCTTCTTTGCATTGTTGTTGTGGAAAAATCCGGTGGAAAAGTCAAGGGAAAAGGACGAGCGCCGCACCACGGATGAGCCGCGGATCCCATCCACCTGATCCTAAGTAAATACAAGGACATGCCGCCATGCGTGTGACTGGGCCATACCAACTCCTCTCCTATATACATAAATATATACATATATTTTATATAAATTTATACTCCCTTTTTGGTTGTTGTGTCTCGCGAGGTCGCTTTTCTTTTTAATTAAATGAAACCAGAGGAATTGACCCAAAACGCAGAATAAATAAATATTTTAAAGGAGGTTGGAGGCTGAGCATCTGTTGTTCCATGTTCGCCGCTTGTTTTTGTTAATAATTATTTCACTTTTTCCGTCCGAAGGAGGTGGAAAGAATTCAAAAGATGCCATTGCCGCATAGCCATTGTTTACTGTAGAAACAAAAACCCGAAGCATCGGCCCCACAAAACAAAAAATAAATAAAAATACGAGCCAACAATAAATATTTCACCTTCAATAAATCATTTTACATTTTTCGCTGTTGGCCAGAAAATCCCCTTTTACACCTCCAACAGAAAAAAAAAACAAAAACAAAACCAAACCCTTGCCGGAAAAAAGGGTTTCTTGTCAACCCCAAGAGCTTTGCATTTTCCTACAAAAATAATCAAAAAAATGTTTAAATATGAATAAAAATTAAAGGTTTAAGTTCAAGTATTCAACATTTTTTCCTCAGCCACTGATCTCTTTCCGTCTATTAAATATAATTTAGTATGTGTCCGAAGAATAACTATTATATAATGTATCTCCACACATCAATTTGTTTGGCCATTACTTCCTTTTTTTGCCGTCCGATCTGATAAATTGGCACTCAAGTGGATTAAAATTGTTTGCAGTTAAATAAATCTACGTCCTCGGCCGGACATTTGTCTGGCCTGGCCAACCAACAAAAAAATTATGTAATGGTGCAAGGACACCGAAAATAATAGTTTCAGGTCCTAAAGAATATTTCGTTATATTTCATATACAATTATAATCATAATTTAAAGGTACTTTTAGAGACAGAAAAATAGCTTTTTATTTATATTTATATGTATAGACCTTTATCGACTTTTTAAATTTAAAGAAGAAATTTTGAAAGTTATGCTATACTAGTTATACTGAAAGTTATACAATATACTATATTCTTCTCATAACTAATTAATTTCAACGAATCTACACTTAAAAGACTCTTATTTTAAAGACAAAGATAAAGAACTCTTACCATACATCCCTTTCAATAATACTTCTTTAATCTTTAATCTTTAATCTTTAATATTTAAAACTTGAAACCCTAGACTTTTTAAAACCATTTAAATCTATTAAAGTTAATCTATATTTTTTATATAATATTTAAATCAATATTTTTTTCTCTGTGTACCGTCAGTGTCCTTTTCTGTCGCATATTAGTGGCTCTGTCATAAAGGTAACTTCAAGTCAAGTTATGAAAATAAAAGAGAGATGAAAAAAATGCGCTTCCTCCGCAAATGAAAAGTTATGAGGCACTCGCTCTATTAGAAATTCCCCACTTGCCCGGATTTTTGCCGAAGTATTCCTCTCCAGCTCCTGCTCCTGGCTCATCGGCAGCTCGAGAGTTCAAAGGGCACCTCAGACAGTTATTAGCTCGACGGCATTTTTTGGCAGCAAAAGGCAAAGGGCAAAGGCAAAAAGCAAAGGCATTTTTTAAGAGCCGTTCATCTCATCTCATCTCATTTATTTTATTTAATTTCATCTCGGGTCAGTATAGGTGGGTTCCGTTTTTGGTTTCAGATTTTAGTGCCTTACTCTTACCATCCAAAATTGTATACTCTATCAGAGAGGTACTATAATTCTAGATTCATGGTGGGAATCATTTTCAGAAACCATTATGTCCGTTTTGGAGAATACCTCATCATATGAAAAACTATTACTGCCTCAAAGGATCTAGGAAGATAATATATATCTTATTTAATTTAATTGTTCTCCTATAACTTAAGTACTCTTTAACAAGCCACAACATATTGGAGTCAACATTGGTAACCCCTATTTATAAGAGAATCCCAGCTTCGTCTTGGCCCTTAACATAAATTAAAAAATGTTTTTGCGCATATATTTTGTTTTCCAACTTTCAAGTTTTGGTTTCGGTTTCAGCTTTTTGTTTTGGTCTTTTTTCGGGGCTCGTCGGCTCGAACAGGCCGAAAATATTTCTCATCATGAATGCATAAACTACGGGCCGGGCAAATTCATAAAATTTAAATTAACATATTACTTAATCGGGTCCACACGTTCCCTTCCACTCTCCACACACTCATTTATAGGTATTCTGTTGGAACCTTGGCCCAATACCAATATACCAGTTGTGATCCTAGGCCTAAACGCCCGATACCAAGGTCATGCCGTTAAGATTCTTCAGTAATTGGCTAAAACATACATATATTTGTAGATATCTGCATCTGCTTAAAATAACTTTTGATAAATTATGTGTCGTTATGTTCTGGTGGCTCGACCAGGGGATCGGCTTGATTTAACTCGATTTAATGTGCCTTGTCATTGGATCTGAAACGTCAACAAGTGCCAGGCCAAATGAAATTATTAGACTGGCAGTGCCCAGAGACAGTGGCTGGAAGTGGCTTAAACGGGAAAACCTAAAATAAACTCATTAATCAGTCTAAGTTAGATTAATTGGCGGTATATACCATATATGGCTTATAATGGCTTTTAAAGAATATTATAAAAGAATTATAGATTTAAGATATATAGTTCTAAAAATAGTTATAATAAAAGTTACAATAACATCTTAAAAAAGGAAGCTTTTATATCATTTATAAAGAACTTAAAACTACGTACTAAAAATAAATAAATGTAATTAAAGTCTAAGACAGTGAACTACTAAGGAGGGATTATTATTTTTCCTCTTCTACAGAATAGATCCTATATAATTTCTATGATCTCATCCCGTTATTTTATAAAATAAAATAGATACATGACTTTCAATTAAAAAATACTACATAATAGCCTAGAAGACACACCTGAAACCACTGTATTTACCTTAAACCTCACCAAATTTGCGCAGTGTCTCAAAACGAAACTCTAAACATGTGAAACATTGATGTCGATGCTTGATGTTAATGGTGATTACGATGCTAAGTGGCAAAAAATGTTGAACGATGCAAATCCCCAGAAGTTTACATACTCTTTAGGTTATGATGCTTGAATCTGTAAATTTTAAAATGTCATTTAGTAATTAAATTTACAAGATATGTAGAGATACTGCTATACAAAGCCTTGTTTTAAAAAATACTTTCCATCTTTAAGAAACCTATAAGTAGAAACATATTTAAATCAAACTTTTTTTATAAACCTGTTCATCTCAATGTACTTACTTTACCTAAATGATATATACAAATTATTAATTGTTTTTAAAACAAAAAACAATTCATAGACAATGATAGTGACTTTTGATGCTTTTTTTAGAGTACCCCCCGTTGGTTCAAGAAACATACAGATAAAAAATAAGCAGAATTAATGAGCTAAGAGACGGGCTGCGAAAAAATTTGGTAAACAAGTTCGCTGCAGGTTGGACGGACGGACACTTCGTTTCGGAAGCTTGGTGGACAGCAGCACTACCGATGATTTTGTAATCTTAAAACCGCCACAGCTTCGGACCCACTTAATCAGTCTCGATTCGGACGCAATGACAAACGCAGGTCGCGGTGGTTTCCATTCGGCGGTGGTGTCGTCGGTGCTTCTCGTGCTTTTTTTGGCCATTCGGTGGATTGATGCCCGTAACTCCCAGAGCCTGCACGTGCGTTTGCCACATGGTGGCTGGCTGATCGGTCGCCACCTAACCACCCACAATGGCCGGCACATGCAAGCATTTATGGGCGTTCCCTATGCCGAGCCTCCGCTGGGCGATCTCCGTTTCCGTCCGCCAGTGCCCAAGGCGGCCTGGGAGGGCGAACGGTTGGCTGTGAAGGATGCCCCCATCTGCCTGCAGCGCGATCCCTTCCGCCGTGATATGATCATCGAGGGCTCCGAGGACTGCCTGTACCTCAATGTCTACACTCCGGAATCGCCGAAAGTAAATGGTTCCCTGCCCGTTATGGTCTGGTTCCATGGCGGCGGATGGCAGTGCGGCGCCGGCATTAGTAGCTTTTACGGTCCCGATTTCCTGCTGGATCACGATGTGGTTTTGGTCTCGGCCAACTTCAGGCTCGGCCCATTGGGATTCCTCAGCACGGAGACCTTGGATTGTCCAGGGAACAACGGCCTGAAGGATCAACTGGAGGTTCTTCGCTGGGTTAGCGCCAACATCGCTTCTTTTGGCGGCGATCCGAAGAGTGTTACGGTGTTTGGCGAGTCCGCGGGGGGAGCCAGTGTCACCTACCACATGTTGTCGCCAAAATCCAGGGGTCTGCTGCATCGTGGCATCGCCCAGTCGGGAACGTATTTCAATCCGTGGGCCCAACCTGCCCACAAGGGCGTGGCTGTCGGTCGGGCAACCAAGTTGGCCGAGTTGGTGGGTTGCGGTTCCCTCGGAGGATGGCCAGAAAAGCTGCAGTGCCTGCGGGAGAAGCCAGCGGAGGACATTGTCGCCTCCTTGTACGATATGTTTGTAAGTTCAAGGTGAAGATTCTAGAAACAGTGAAAACCATAAGCTTCGTCTTAGGTCTGGGACTTTGATCCGATGATTCCCTTCCCGCCGGTCATTGAGCCGGAACACGAGGACGCCTTCTTGACCGTACCGCCTCGCCAGGCCCCGCCACCACACGGCCTCCAGCTGCCACTGATGGTGGGCGCCACCGCCGAGGAGGGTCTCCTTAAAACAGCCGCTCTGCTCAATCTGCCACATCTCATGGCGGAGTTTAAGTCGCAGTTCGACCAGGTGCTTCCAGTAGTCCTGAACTACGACCACCACGAGGATTCAGTGAAACAGAGTATAACGCAGCGGATCGAAAGCTTCTACTTCAAAGCGGGTCACGACTACGACAAGGCCAATCACCAAAATCTTACAGATGTAAGTGGGAAAATATATATAAGTACTAGAGGAATATAAGAACATAGAGCCCTAGGATAACCATAATAAAAACCAGAGATACCTAATAACTTATGACACCCCTCTTAAGCTTAAAAACTAATAATTTATCAATATTATCCTGTCAGCTCATCTCGGATGGATGGTTTGTGGCCGGCATTGACGAGTACCTCCGCCTTCGCATGTCCCAAGAGGATGTGGCCCCCACATATGTTTACCTGTTTGACCATAAAGGTGCCGCCAGCTTTTCGGAGATCTTCAAGGGCGAACGAAACGAGTTCTACGGCGCTTGTCATGCAGAGGAACTGCAGTACCTCTTCCCCATTGGCCGCGAGCTTTTTGTAAGTGCCGTGCCCACAAAACAGGATCTACAGCTGCGGGAACTGATGCTCCAACTGTGGGTTAGCTTCGCCACAACTGGGTGAGAAACATCTGAAATAAAAACCTCATTAAGATGGTAAACTCATTAAGAATCGCTTTTCCAGCAATCCGAATCCCACGAATGTGACCACTAGCCTGCCCGTGTGGAATCCTGCTTCCAGCTACCCAGTGGAGTACGTTCGACTAGGCACCAAGGCGGATGACCAGGTGGCCGCCACCAAGGCGTCGCTGTTCAGGCTAGAAAACGAATTAATGCAGCAGCGCGTTGATTTTTGGCGCGACTTGAAGCCCCATTTGCCCGCCAGCCACGTCCACAATGAACTGTAGTCCCAAGACGCTAATGTATTATTATTATTTTTTTTCAATCTGTATTATTTCATCGGTGAATGGAAGTACACCAAGCAGAAAAATATTAAATCAAAGAAATACATTTTAAAGAGGCTTTTCCTTTAACGGCGGTAATGCCACAATGGAAAGCTTTAGTGCTGCCAGCTCGTTGAAAAAAGTAAGTTTATATAAAAACGCTTATAAATACGCATTTGAATCTTTTAAGGTTTTTCCTTATGTTTTTTCTCTTTTTTGTATAGGTTTATTTAGAAGAAATTACAAATATATGTTAATTCTTGAATTCTTTTATTATTTTTGAAATAAACTAAAACCATTTTTATTCTTCATATTATAAAACTGAGAACATTTTTCGTTGTTATTTTTAATGATTAAGTTTTTTATAAGTTTATTAATTAAAAATATGTATATTTGTTATATTTTAACTCTGTATATACTTTTTAAACCGATCTGGCCAACATTGGTTGATAAACAGAGCAGCCAGATGGCTGGAAAAAGCTTGCATTTGTAAACAAATCAATACAAGTCAAACAAAGATTTCCTATATCTACACGAGAGAGAAACAAAAACAACGTTTAGCTTGAAATTCTGATAGCTAATAGGGTAAATTTAGAAAACAAATAGACACAATAAGCGACTATTGAAGTAAAAAACGCATCTATCGATAGACAACCAGCTGATAAATGTTTATTTATGGCAAATGAAAAAAAACATTGCTCGAAATAGGAGTGCATTTGAATTTCATTATATTAGTCATGTCTGTCGTGGAGCTATCTCTTAGATAAACGAGTGCCTCGAGGTGATTGTGCTTTTCAGTCTCTTCAGTAATTTTTGTCTTTTCGCTTTCTAATTTAATTTCCTCCAGAAGCAATTTGTTTGCAACACCCGCACCACGTGCTCCTTTTTTTGATATTTCGCTGCCCCCCGCGAACTTGGGATTTGGAATTGAAATTGTGTTCGGATTTGCCCGATAACGAGTTGCCCAAATAAACAGCTCCCGCACGGGTTAATGGATTTGCCGATTACGTCGTCGGCGCCCAGTTCAATTCCATTCCGGCAGCTGCAGCGATAAGCGAGCGATCTGAATCATTTAGTGCGAATCTCACGGCGTTCCGGATTTTTTGCGGTTTATTTAACAGCCAGCCATGTCGGCGAATGGAAAAGAGGCGCCGGCACCTCCGCCGCCAGAAACCCTTGCCTCGAAACCCATTGACATCAGTGTCCGGCTGCCGTCGCTCCACGAGCGCCTCACCTCCTTGGACAAGGGCATACCACCAGCGTCGCCCACCCTGCCCAGTCCCACCATCCGGCGGAACAAGAGCGACGGCAAGCTGATGGCCCAGGACATCAAAGAGGCCCGGGTTAAGGTCATCTATACCGGCGGCACCATCGGCATGATGCGGAACGAGCGGAGTGGTGAGTGCAGGTTTGGAGTGGGTTGGTCCCAGAGTGGTTGGAGTAGACTCTGTTAGGTAAATAGTTATAGTATGAGATATGGTTTTCAGCTTGATTGTATCACAGCCCTTAGGGAGAACTTGATAATTTTTAAACGAAAATTGCAACTATAGTTTGTTTTTTTTACAAAATTAAGTTCTTTAAACGTATAATTATTAATGGAATATGTAACTTATTATACAGTATACCATTTAATATTTTAGTACGTTACTAAATCATAAAAATTAAGAACTCTATGAGATTTATTAAGTTATAAACCAGTTCCAGGAGATAAGGTTCCTTAAATGTCCCGTAGGAACTTAAAATACCTTTTGTTTTAAAGTTCTCAAATAATATTCTTTAAAGTATGTTTCTATAGAACTCTTTATGGAACTTATACCTTATAATACAAGATACAATAATAGAAATAATTATACATTAGTTACTGAATAATAAAATAAAAGCTCTTTAGCTTTGAGAAGTGTGGGGTATCGTATAGTTAGGAAAATAGAAAAAAAACAAAATAGTTTTTATATACTTACTATACTTTTATTAAGCATAGATACTAAATATTCATATCTTGAAACTTAGTTCCTTTTTCCGGCCTTAGATACGATAGTAATTCCTGACTTTATACATTTAAAGAATGATAAGATATGAAATAGTTAAGCTTTTAAAATTAAAAACTATTTATTTGTTGGAGTCTGTCTGCACCTTTGTGTTTGGAAGTGTGTCTATAAACATTGATTTACAATAGCTGATTAGTAGAGTCAATTTTCCCAAGTGGGAAAAAGGTTATCGTAGGTAAATAGTTTTTATTTATTTACGAAGTCGTGATTGGCAAATAGTTGACCCAAAAGTCACAATACACTGATGATTGTAAACAAATATTACGAAGAATACATAAATATTGACATTTCCATAGATGGGGTTTTGTTTTTGGAATTTTAACATATAATTAAGAATATTTATGGTATAAAACAAATAAACTTATACTATAATAAGTACATATAGTTTAAAGATTAATTATTTTAGTAAAGAAATACTTTCAATAGACTTTAATTTTTGCCAATCATTTTTCAAGTTCGATAAGCATTTAAGCAAATATTTAATTAACGAGATATGCAATCTTAAAAATTATATTTTTAGAAAAATCGATCAAGTCTGGTATTATCTTTTTTTTAGTTCTGGCACCCATTCCCAATGCCCTGGTCCGGCACATCCGCAAATACCCCAACATCCACGACGAGGAGTATGCCCTGCAACGGTTCGGGGCTTCCGCCTCGATGGCTCCGCTGGTCCTGCCCCTGGTCCAGGGCGTGGACCGCAGGATTCTTTACCAGATCACGGAGTACACACCTCTGCTGGACAGCAGCAACATGACCATGAACGACTGGGCCCGCATCGCCAGCGACATTCAGGTTGGCATGACACTGTGAACTCGAAACCACGAATCTGCATAAACTTTATGAATAATTTAGTGCCCCTAATCCGATTTTAATGTCACTGATTGTCTCCTCTTTCTTCCCCCAAAGAGTATTGTTATATTTAATCCACAATAAGTGGCTTGATTTTATTTTTAATTCAGTCTTGAGTTGAATGTCCGATTTTTGTTTAAAAAACTTTTACTTTCTGTAAAGATCTATATATATCTATATCTCATTCTTTATAGCAATCCTACGAGTTCTTTGACGGATTCGTGGTCCTCCATGGAACAGACACCCTCTCCTACACCGCCTCGGCCCTCTCGTTCATGCTGGAGAATCTCGGCAAGACGGTGATCATCACTGGCTCCCAGATACCCATCTTTGAGACGCGCACCGACGGCAAGGACAACTTCACCTCCGCCCTGATCATAGCGGGCAACTACATCATCCCGGAGGTGTGCATCTTCTTCGGCCACAAGCTGATGCGCGGCAACCGGACGGTGAAGGTGAGCTCGAACGCCCTGGACGCCTTCGACTCGCCGAATGTGCCGCCCCTGGCGAGGATCGGCATCGACGTGAACGTGGACTACCGCCTCATCTTCCGGCCGTGCAGCATCGAGCGGTTCTGCGTCCATCTGAATCTCGACGAGAACGTGGGTCTGCTGCGCATCTTCCCGAGCATTTCGCACTCCACGTTCCGTGCCTTCCTAGCGCCACCGATCCGCGGCGTGGTGCTTCAGTCCTTCGGCTCTGGCAACATCCCATCCAATCGCAAGGACCTGATTGAGGAGCTGCGGGCCGCCGATGAACGGGGTGTGATCATCATCAACTGCACCCAGTGCCCCAACGGCACTGTGGCCGAGATATACGACACGGGCAAGGTCCTGTGCGATGTGGGTGTCATTCCCGGCTACGACATGACCCCGGAGGCGGCGCTCTCCAAGCTGGCCTATGTCATTGGCAAGACGGAGTGGTCTCTGGAGGTCAAAAAGCAGGTGAGTCGTAGAAGGACCATCGAAGAAAGATTCCCTTGATTTGTGACATAACCGGTTTACTAATCCAATCCCCAGATGATGCAGTCGAACCTGCGCGGTGAACTGACCTCGGTGAAGGCGGCTAAGATAGAGGACTACGATCTGGTAGACGCAGTGGCTCGATCGCTGCACCTGTCCTCGCCACAGGAGCTGGACCAGCTGGGCGCCACCCTCTTCCCGGCCATGATAAACGCCGCCGTGGCCGAGAGCGACCTCAAGAAGATCAACAACCTGAAAGCCTACGGAGCTGACCTCTCCGGCATTAATCACGACCAGAGAACGGCACTCCATCTGGCCTGCCAACTGGGCAGTATCGAAATCGTCAAGTTCCTGCTAAACAATGGAGTCTCGGTCCATGTTCGTGATCGGTACGACCGCACGCCCCTGCTGGAGGCGGTCTCCACCGACAACCACGAGATCATCCAGCTGCTGATGAACTGTGGCGCCCATCTCACCGGTTCCTCGCGGGCGGTGGGGGAGCAGCTGTGCGCCGCGGCGGCCAGGGGATCCATTGTGCGGATCAAGTCCTATCAACTGGCTGGCGCCGATCTCTCCCAGGCCGATCCCTCTGGCAGGACGGCTCTACATGTTGCTGCCTTGCACGGCCACCCGGAAGTCATCCTCTATGTCCTCCCGTATTACGAGAATCCCAATGAGAAGGACATGCTCGGTCTGACGCCGTGGGATTATGCGGAACGAGGGGGACATTCCGCAGTTCTGGAAGCCCTAAGAACCTCCGGATGAGTTGCAAGGCAGGTGGGGATGCCACAGAAATGTCAAGGTAGTTTCAACTTAAAAGATTACTTAATTTTTAAAGCATTTTTTAGCTGATGTTTTTGATTTAAAACTTTATTTGTATTTATTTAAAAAAATTCGAAATAACATCGAAAATATTTGTCACTAATTCAGGAAAAAATTGGTTTCTGTGGCAAGTCTTATAGAATACTTAATATTCCTTGAATCAGTCCTATCTAGTCCATGGAATGTATTTTGATACTAATACTAGACTTTGTATAGATTATAGCTTTTTTTTATAAAGTCCTTTGTTCTTTAATTTTAACTTAAAAAGTCTTCGAATCGTTAAATGTAATGTTCTCTATTTGATTAATGGAAAAAAAGATTATACAACTCAAATTGTAAGCCAGAATATTGTTTTGTTTTAAGAATTTTAAAATTTTTAAAGAATGTGTGAGTTTTTAACAGTGTTATTTTTAATATAAAAGTCTAAGAAATAGACAAACTTCCTATAACCAGAAAAATTAATGTTGTAAATAAATAAAAAAAAAAAATATTAAAAATGTTACAATTGTGATTTATATTTTAAATAACAACGGATTGAGTAAAAATATGCATGGATAAAATATTAAAGTAATTCAAATTATTAGTCAAGGTGGCAACCTTTTTTAACATTTTTCTTTTATAGTGGCAACGCCAAAGACTGTCACTTCAAAATCGATAGAAAAATACCAGATTGCACAAATAATAAACTTTTAAGCAATTGACTATGGAAATGAGTTATTTTTTTTATAAGGGATATTAATAATAGGCACTGCCATTAAAAGCAGTTAAAAAAAGAAAAACAATAATATTAATTGTTGTAAGAACGAAAGAATAACGGTTGATTGTCATCGGAGAAAGTAGTCATCGCCGACGTCTATCGAAAGCTGCTCACCACTCTGACACTTCATGAAAGCTAAAAAAAAAAGTAAAATGAAATAATTTACGGCTGTTTTTTCATCGCAGAACCGTAGTTCCCCGTTTAAAATTGCACGAAGCGTGGCGGAAGACTTCCTCCAGAGATTCCACATTCCAGGACAGCGAGAGAGCAGCAGGTTTCAACGCAGACGCTTTTGCCACGGCTGCCAACTTGGATTTTTTTGTGTGCCAACTTCGGACTTCATTGCACGCCCACGCACCCGTAACAACGGATACGAACAGGGAGCAGTCGCCAGTGGGACAGGATGCAACAGAACGCGGCCAGCAATCCGTTCTCGATGTCCACGTACGTGGAGCGACCCCAAATGGGTCTGGACGTGGAGTTTGGACAGGACCCATCTAGTGGAGCCGCCTTCTTCCAGAGCGACGGCCGCAAGCACGACGACCTCAAGCAGATGTTGGACAGCAACAAGGACGGCCTGAAGCTGGAGGCCATGAAGCGCATCATCGGAATGATTGCCCGGGGTCGGGATGCCAGCGATCTGTTTCCGGCCGTGGTCAAGAATGTCGTGTCCAAGAACATCGAGGTGAAGAAACTAGTGTATGTCTACCTGGTTCGCTATGCCGAGGAGCAGCAGGACCTGGCCCTGCTCTCCATCTCCACGTTCCAGCGCGCCCTTAAGGATCCCAATCAGTTGATTCGCGCCTCTGCCCTGCGCGTACTCTCCTCCATTCGGGTCAGCATGATTGTGCCGATTGTGATGCTGGCGATCCGGGACAGCGCCGCCGACTTAAGTCCCTATGTGCGCAAGACGGCAGCCCATGCCATTCCCAAGCTGTACTCGCTGGACGCGGACCAGAAGGACGAGCTGGTGATGGTGATTGAGAAACTGTTGTCGGACAGGACCACCTTGGTGGTGGGCTCTGCTGTCATGGCCTTCGACGAGGTGGGTTTTCTCATTCTACTTATCTTTCATTTTTTCTAAAAACTTTGTTTCAGGTCTGCCCGGAGCGGGTGGATCTCATCCACAAGAACTACCGCAAGCTGTGCAACCTGTTGGTGGATGTGGACGAGTGGGGCCAGGTGATCATCATCAACATGCTGACCCGCTACGCCCGCACCCAGTTCGTGGATCCCAATGCGGACGATGATCTGGCCGATGGTGTGGCCGAAACGCCGACCAACGAGCGTTTCTACGACGAGTCCTCGCACTCCTCCTCCTCGAATAGCGACGACGGCAGCAGCGACGACGAGGCCAAGACCAAGTCTCGTCCCAAAAACGGCGGCGGCAGCAACAGCAACAACAATAACGGCGGCAGTCGTACCCCCAGTTCCCCTGGAAGCAGTTACCACATCGACGTTGACCACCGGCTGCTCCTGCGGCAAACGAAGCCCCTCTTGCAGTCCCGCAATGCCTCGGTGGTGATGGCAGTGGCGCAGTTGTACCACCATGTGGCGCCCAAGAACGAGGTGCAGCTGATAGCCAAGGCCCTGATCCGGCTGCTGCGTTCGCACAAGGAGGTGCAGAGCGTGGTGCTCAACTGCATCGCCTCGATGTCCACCAAGCGCAAGGCCATCTTCGAGCCCCATCTCAAGTCGTTCTTTGTGCGCACCAGCGATCCGACGCACCTGAAGCTCCTCAAGCTGGACATCCTCACCAATCTGGCCTCGGCGGGCAGCATCTCGCTGATTTTGCGCGAGTTCCAGACCTATATATCCAGCAGCGACCGTTCCTTTGTGGCAGCCACCATCCAGGCCATCGGACGCTGCGCCTCCAGCATCAAGGAGGTAACCGAGACCTGCCTCAGCGGCCTGGTTCATCTCTTATCGAATCATGATGGTGGGTATTCTACGCGCATGTTTGCAACCCTTTGTAATACGAACCCCCTTCCAGAGCACGTTGTGGCGGAGAGCGTTGTGGTGATCAAGCGTCTGCTGCAAACCAAGGCCGCCGAGCACTTCGAGATCATCACCCAGATGGCGAAGCTGATCGATTACATCAACGTGCCGGCTGCCCGGGCGGCTATCATCTGGCTGATTGGCGAGTACAACGAGAAGGTGCCGCTGATAGCCCCGGACGTGCTGCGCAAGATGGCCAAATCCTTCGTGGACGAGCAGGACGTGGTCAAGCTGCAGGTGCTGAACCTCGGCGTTAAGCTCTACCTGACCAATCCGCAGCAGACCTCGCTGCTCTGCCAGTACGTGTTCACGCTGGCCCGCTACGATCCCAACTACGATGTGCGCGACCGCGCCCGTTTCCTGCGCCAGATCATCTTCCCGGCCAGCGGCAATAGCAGCGTTCTCAGCCAGAACGCCCGGCAGGTGTTTCTCGCCAGCAAGCCGGCTCCGGTGCCGGAGAGCAAGTACCGGGGTGGTAACAACTTCCAACTGGGGTCCCTGTCCCACTACCTGAACATGCCGGCGGCCTGCTACAAGGAGCTGCCGCCCTTCCCGGCCATTGCGCCGGACTCTTCGGTGCGCAACATTGCCGGTTTCATGCAGGAGAAGCTGCCGGGCGAGGAGTCGCCGGCAGGGCGCTCCAAGGAAGCCTCCGGCGGCGGTGCCGGCAAGAACAAGAGTGCCGGACGCGAAAAGGGATTCCTCTCGGAGTCGGAGGACAAGTCGTCTGCCTACTCGGATTCCGGCAGCAGCAGCGGTAGCGGCACCAGCGACAGCGAGTCGGACAGCGACGACACCGCCAGCAGCGAGGAGGAGGAGGCGCAGGCGAAGGGGAAGGCGGTACAGCCCGCCAAGGTTTCCACGAAAAAAGAGCCACAGCCCTCGGGCGATCTAATCGATGCTGGAAGCAACGAGGTCGTGGCCACCGCGCCGGAAAAAGCCGCCACCAACAATAACAGCAACGCTGCCGGTTACTCCGGAACCTCGGAGAGCGGCGACTCCTCGTCGTACAGCGGGAGCAGCAGTAGCGAGGACAGCGACTCGGGAAGCGACAACGAAGCCGAGCAGAAGGAAGCCAAAAAGCCGGAGGTGGAGACCAAGTCGAAGCCGAAGGAGAAGCAAGAGAAGCAGCCCTCGAAGAGCAATCTGGATCTGTTACTCGATCTGGATGATATTCCGCCCATTGGTCCTGTGATGACGCCCTCGCTAGGAGGATTCCTAACGCCCGGTAAGCCCCAGACAGAGATTCTCCCAAAATAGATTCATTATCACGTATCCAGGAACAGGTACTCCCTTAATTGGTGGCCAGGCAGCTCCACTGCAGCCGCAGCACGCCAGGAACCGGGTGGAGCTGGTCGGGCCATCGCACATCGAGTTCAAGCACAAGGAGCTGCTGAATAAAGTGAGCGGCCACGGACTCCAGCTGGGCTACCGCTTCACCCGCGCCCCCCACCTCTTCTCCTCGAGCATGTGCTCCATCGAGCTGCAGTTCCAGAACCGCGGTGAGCAGGAGATCACCAACGTCCGTCTGGGTCAGACCACCTTGCCGGCGGGCATGCAGCTGAACGAGTTTGCGCCGGTTGCGGCACTGCAGCCGCAGCAGACGGCCAGCGGGATCCTGGGCCTGGACTTTAACGACTCCACGCATGCCGTGGACCTGGAGGTGGTCTCCAGTGCGGGCAGTTCGCGGGTGCAGCTGAAGCCGCCGGTGGGCGAGCTGGTGCGGTCCGTCCAGATCGGGGAGAGCTGTCACCGCGAGGAGCGGGCCAAGCTGCGCGGCATGAACGAGCACCAGTGCGAGCTGCGCGGCCTGAGGAGCGACCTCATCGACGTGTCCGCCCTGCGCCAGAAGGTCGTCGAGTGCATCAATGTGGCGCACACGCACAGCTCTCCGAACGGGCAGCTGCACTGCTTCGCCGGCCAGACGCTCAGCTCGAAGAGCCTGGTGCTGCTCACGCTGCAGTGGCAGACGGAGGACGCCCTCACCCTGCTGGTCAACTGCGAGAAGATGGTGATCGGCTCCATGGTGCTCAACGAGCTGAGGAACGCCCTGCAGCTCAGCTTCGCGATGTGAAGCGACCCAATGTGAAACCAAGCGAGATGGCAGATGGCGAGTCCACTAGAGACAGTCCGAAGGGAAAAGCGAAGCCGCCTCACTACGTAAAACTAAGCATTGACCCATAGACATTAACTATATACTGTAAAGGACAGAGCGATGGGGATCCTTGGGGGCTTCGGGCACTACAAGATCCTTGAATTTAATTCGCCAGGCCCAGGGATCTCCGGTCGCCTCCTCCAAAATATACATGAATCATGATTCTATCGCTTTTACTATTCCTATACAAAGCTGAAATTGATCCTACTCCAATCCAATTCCAATTCCAACTCCAAATCCAATCCTTCCTAGTTAGTTATGATGGTGTGTGTATATGTATGAGTGCCCGCACTATATATTTGTAACACTCTGGAGTGGAAATCGTACGTAACGTGTAATTTGTAAAGTGTTTGATGTTGTAAATCTGTTGCCTTCGTGCTCTATGCGGCCTTCTTCAAATCGTAGCAAAGACAAACGAATATCGAATCTATATATATATATACACATATGTATATACTATGTTCATATAATATACAGCGCAAAATGATAATGCATTCTTCTGCCAGAATCAAGAACAAAGGGAGATCCATGTCGCAATCGATTTTCCCCCAACTAAGAAATTATGCAAAAAAAAAGAAGAAATAAAGCTTGAATTTTAAATTGTAAAATTGATTATTTTTTGTGGGTGTTTTAGAGCTGAGATCATAGATTGTATGTTATTTTTGCTCTCTACATTAATTTTTTTGATGAATCTTAAGAGCTTTAGATTAAGTCTAAAAGGTTTTTCAAGAAAGAAATATAGGAAGAAATTTACCCTTTTCTTGATTGATTTTAAAGCTTGATTTAAAACCATATTTTTATATATATTATATTTATATATTTTATATCCACGATAATTTTTTTTGATGAATCTTAAGAGCTTTAGATGTACTCGTATGGTTTTTCAAAAAAGATATTTATGAAGAAAAGGGTAAATAAAGCTTGATTTTAAATCTTGAATATCTCAGAAAGAGTTAGAAAATTTAATTTTTATAAATCTCTAGCTTTATTTTTTTTTTAAAGAAGCAAAATATGCTCAAAAGATATAAAGTTTACGTTTTAAAATGTAAAGTTGTTCATCTATATGGGTATCTCAAAGATTTTTTTTTTTTTTAATCTTTTGAACGTTTTATTTACAATCTGTCCTCAGGGACAATAATTAAATTTTTTAAGTGAACCTTGAAAATAGGAGTTCGATAAATACAAGTTATGAATCTTAAAAGTTAATTTAGTACATCCAGTGGATGCCTCCTCTATATATTTCATCTATATGGGTATCTCAGAGATGAAATCACAAAATATAATTGTTTTAAAATTTACTTTTTTATTTTTAATCGTTTTCTTGTTTCTTGTTAAATCATATTATTTATATTAAGTGATAAGATCGTATTATAGTTTTGTTCTATAATTTTATTGTTTGACTTTTAAAACATTTTTTTAAATTTCATGAATCTTTAAACTTCTAGGATTTAAGCTTTATTTGCCCTTTTTTATCTTAGAGATGGGGTTTTAATAAATTTTAATGATTTAATAATATCCTAAATTTATAAATCATGTTTATATTTTGTTCAATATTTTAAGCTTTAGCTTTATATTTATGTCCAAGAGAGAAGCATATAAAACAAGAAAATAAATACCATATTACTTCGGACGGAGCTGAAATTGATACACCCTTGGAGTTAAAGATCGGTTATAATTCTCCAATATCGGATATAGTAGGCCAATATTTGTGAAAACAAAATATTCATAAATATATCCATCCCAGTAGGCTCCAATTCGTCTTGAAACTAACCTGTCTGGAAGTGGTGTAGAGCTCACTCTGATTTTGAAACTCGAACGAGAAAGCAAGAAAAAAAAAGAGAATCGACATGGAAGCGGATTTAGTGAATATAATAAATGGACTTTTGAGCTCCGCGACCAATAATATTCGAACGGCTACTGCAGCCTTGGCGCAGGCCATGGAGAATCCCGAGGTGATGCTGGGCTTCTGCAACATCGTGGTCTCCCCCATGCTGACTGACATCCGCCAGTACGCTGCGGTGATCCTCAACAAGCGACTGTCGAAGCCGCGACATTGGCAGCTCCTGGGCCAGGATATGCAGGGCCAGATCAAGCACATGATGCTGAAAGCTCTAATCGCCGAGGAGGAGAAGATTGTGAGGAGTGGCATCGGCCAGGTAGTGGGCACTCTGGTACGCCACGAGGCGGACAAGACCGACTCTTGGGTGTCGGAACTGTTTGACTTTGTTTTGCAAAAGTGCACAGTACAGGATCCAAGAGAGAGCGAGCTCGGATCGTCAATATTATGCACCCTCGCCGACACGGCACCCGACCAGTTCATCCACTTAGTGGATAAGGTATGCCACATGTTTTCCAAGGTCATGGTTGAGGCGACAAATCAGGGAAACCTCGTCACTACAACGGTTACTAATCTCATAAGCTGTATGACCCATCTGATGCATATTATTAAGGGGAACGAAGATGCGGAGAAGACCCTGGCCGCACTGATGCCCCACATCTACAACACCGTGATAGCTTACGCCTGGTCGCATGACTTATCAGAATTCCTGGCAGTATCACAGATCCTAGAGAGCGTCTCGGACCACATCCCCAGGCTGTTAAACGATGTGAAGCCCGCTTTGGAGTGCTGCCTGATAGTGGCCAGCAGCAAAGATTTGGAGGATGCCATCCGCTGCGAGGCAATTACCTGTGTCCTGGGCATAGTACTAATTAAAAAGGAGACGGTGATTAAAGAGGAGCTACTAGAGCCAGTCCTTAACATTACGTTGGAGGTGATGTGCTGCTCCACGAGCGACGACGACGAGGTCTACTTCGACCGAATGTTCTACGCCCTGGACACCTTTATCAGACACCTGAAGGACGAGGTGAAGCCGCACTTGGTTCTCCTGATGGAGCGTCTCTCCAACGCCTTGGTAGGCCAAACCACTCCCCGGCTCTGTAAACTGGCCTTGTCCACCATAGCGTCAGTGGCTGCTGCTGCCAAAATGGACTTTTTGCCATATTTCCCAATGGTGCACAACGTCATTTCACGGTACATAGTTTTGGAAATACCAGAGAACTATCGACAGATCCGGCTCGAGTCCATGAAACTCCTGGCGGTCATTGCCCGCGTCGTCGGGAGGGAGAACTTCCTGCCGCTGGCTAAGGAAACTATGCTATTCTGTCTGTCGATTTTGGAGCACAAGGCCGATGACAAGGATCTGCGCAGGCACGCGTACATCCTAATGGGAGCCCTCTCAACCGTGGCCAACGAGGAAATGGGTGCTGTTTTCCCCAAGATCATGAACCGCATTTTGGAATCGGTCCACCCGAGGACCAAGGACGATGAAGAGATGCGGGAGAGTTCCGAACTCAACGAATCGCAGACGGAGGACGATGACCTCTTCGAGAAGGAGCAGGCCATTGTGGCGCTGAGGGAGTTCGCTGCCAACTCCGGCGCTGCTTTCGCTCCGTATCTTCAGCCGTCGTTCGACTGCGTCCTCAAGGTAGTCGACAGCCCCTACGTCTCCATTCGCAAGGCCGCGTTGGAGGCTCTGACCCAGTTCGTTATCGCTCTCTACAGGATCGGGGATGCAGAGGGAGTTGCTCGCGCCAGCCTGGTGGTCGTACCCATGTTGGCCCAAGTCGCTCGCGACGACCAGGAGCAGTCGGTAATAATTGCCGCACTGGCAACACTCGGAGAACTGTTTCAGGAAGTAAAAGGTGGCGTGGTGCCCACAATCGAGTTGCGAGGGATTATCTGTGAACTCATCAAGGACTTGATGACCAACAAGGCAGCTTGCCCAGACGGTGATGGGAATGGCGACGACGACAACGACGAGGTGGAAGGCGAGAACGTGGTCATGGAGCATGCGGCCCGATTGCTGCCGCTCTTGGGCCTTGCCTTGGAGCCCAAGGAGTTCTCCGTGTACTTCGCACAACTGCATCTTCAGTATGTGGAGCACATCCCGAGAGATCCCAGTGCCACTGACTACTGCTACATCATTTACGGTGCCTTGACCGACTGCCTTCAGAGCCTGGGCACCTGGATCGTCGAATACTTCGACCACCTATGCTTCTTGTTCATCCAGGGAACAGCTCATCCGGAAGGGAACACCCGCAAAAAGGCATACTACGGCCTGGGAGAGCTGGTCTTGCATTCAGAAAGAAGGTCTTTCGCTTCGTATCCGATTATCCTGCAAGCCCTCTCGAATGCCATTGCCACGGAGAGGGACCCCGCTGCCCTGGACCACATTATAGCAGCTCTCGCCCGGCTATTGGTCACCCACATGGAAGGTGTGCCCCTAGTTGATGTCCTCCCAGCGTTCATGTCCTACTTGCCGCTACGCGTGGAGACGCGCGAGTACCTCTCGGTCCAAAAGGCGTTCCGGGTACTCTTCGTCAAGGCACGACCTGCCGTTGAGCCGTATCTGGAGCAGATGCTAGTAATCACCGTTCAAATGGTCCTCAGGAAAGAACTACCCGACTCCCAGTCTACCGAAGATAGCGTCAACTTCATCAGGGAAATTGTACATCATTATCCACCGTTTTTTCAAAAGCTGTCTAGTTTCGAAGAGTGTGCGAATCTCATGCCCTTGTTGTAACTGCAAGTTGTACATTGGAAGCTATTTTCTGGCAAGTATTACAAGTTCATAATCAGGATGATTTTCGAACTAACATTTTTTCAATTTCCAGTTGAAGTTTTCTTGTCCGAAGAGTCTTGAGATGTCTTGCCGGGGAGTAGAATTCAGGTCTTCTTGAAGTCGTAACTGTAAGTATTACAAGTTCAAAAACCTTCCAAAACTTACAGGATGGTTTTTTCCTTTAGAAGTTCTTCAAAATTCCCTTCCTGCATCGAGAGGCGAAATACCAACCACTAGAACTCCAGCATTGCCAGTTCCAAACCTTTCTAATCTCACAGAAAGGCTTTCCTGCTTAAAATTTTGAAGAGAAAAGCTTTCGAATTTTCCAACCCAAGTTGCGACCACTTATAAGGCAACTCCAATAAACGTTATATGAAAGGAAATTTAAGGGAATTTTTTCATTTATTTTTAAGATATCTTTATTGCAAAACCCCTGAGTAGTTCTCCAAGAAAAAAAAGTTACGATACAAGAAATTAAGCCAACCAGTTACGTGCTTGAGAGGTTGTGTTGCTGGAGAACAGTGGCGGATTTAACAGGTGGGCAAAGGCGCGCCTGCCCACTGGGCCCCCCCCGACGAAAGGCTTTCAGGGCCCCTCGTGCTGAAAGTTACACCTTCGATTTCTTTTCCACAAATCTGCATCAAAATCTGGCAACAAAATATTTTTTAGATTTTTTTTTCAAATTTTCTGGGCTGTCCCCTTCAAAATGTGCAGAAAGCATGGGGAGCCCCATTTGACCCACTGCGAAGGCCATATCTTAGGAAATATTCATCCGATTCTTGAACGGAATACCTTAAACGATTTGTGGATCGATTCTTCATAAATCTGCATCAAAATCTGGGAACAAAATATTTTTAAGATTTTTTGTCAAATTTTCTGGGCTGTCCCCTTCAAAATGTGCAGAATGCATGGGGAGCCCCGTATGACCCACTGCGTAGGCCATATCTTAGGAAATATTCATCCGATTCTTGAACGGAATACCTTAAACGATTTGTGGATCGATTCTTCATAAATCTGCATCAAAATCTGGGAACAAAATATTTTTAAGATTTTTTGTCAAATTTTCTGGGCTGTCCCCTTCAAAATGTGCAGAATGCATGGGGAGCCCCATATGACCCACTGCGAAGGCCATATCTTAGGAAATATTCATCCGATTCTTGAACGGAATACCTCAAACGATTTGTGGATCGATTCTTCATAAATCTGCATCAAAATCTGGGAACAAAATATTTTTAAGATTTTTTGTCAAATTTTCTGGGCTGTCCCCTTCAAAATGTGCAGAATGCATGGGGAGCCCCATATGACCCACTGCGAAGGCCATATCTTAGGAAATATTCATCCGATTCTTGAACGGAATACCTTAAACGATTTGTGGATCGATTCTCCATAAATCTGCATCAAAATCTGGGAACAAAATATTTTTAAGATTTTTTGTCAAATTTTCTGGGCTGTCCCCTTCAAAATGTGCAGAATGCATGGGGAGCCCCATTTGACCCACTGCGAAGGCCATATCTTAGGAAATATTCATCCGATTCTTGAACGGAATACCTTAAACGATTTGTGGATCGATTCTTCATAAATCTGCATCAAAATCTGGGAACAAAATATTTTTAAGATTTTTTGTCAAATTTTCTGGGCTGTCCCCTTCAAAATGTGCAGAATGCATGGGGAGCCCCATTTGACCCACTGCGAAGGCCATATCTTAGGAAATATTCATCCGATTCTTGAACGGAATACCTTAAACGATTTGTGGATCGATTCTTCATAAATCTGCATCAAAATCTGGGAACAAAATATTTTTAAGATTTTTTGTCAAATTTTCTGGGCTGTCCCCTTCAAAATGTGCAGAATGCATGGGGAGCCCCATATGACCCACTGCGAAAGCCATATCTTAGGAAATATTCATCCGATTCTTGAGCGGAATACTTTAAGCGATTTGTGGATCGATTCTTCATAAATCTGCATCAAAATCTGGGAACAAAATATTTTTAAGATTTTTTGTCAAATTTTCTGGGCTGTCCCCTTCAAAATGTGCAGAATGCATGGGGAGCCCCATATGACCCACTTCGAAGGCCATATCTTAGGAAATATTCATCCGATTCTTGAACGGAATACCTTAAACGATTTGTGGATCGATTCTCCATAAATCTGCATCAAAATCTGGGAACAAAATATTTTTAAGATTTTTTGTCAAATTTTCTGGGCTGTCCCCTTCAAAATGTGCAGAATGCATGGGGAGCCCCGTATGACCCACTGCGTAGGCCATATCTTAGGAAATATTCATCCGATTCTTGAACGGAATACCTTAAACGATTTGTGGATCGATTTTCCATAAATCTTCATCAAAATCTGGGAACAAAATATTTTTAAGATTTTTTGTCAAATTTTCTGGGCTGTCCCCTTCAAAATGTGCAGAATGCATGGGGAGCCCCATTTGACCCACTGCGAAGGCCATATCTTAGGAAATATTCATCCGATTCTTGAACGGAATACCTTAAACGATTTGTGGATCGATTCTCCATAAATCTGCATCAAAATCTGGAAACAAAATATTTTTAAGATTTTTTGTCAAATTTTCTGGGCTGTCCCCTTCAAAATGTGCAGAATGCATGGGGAGCCCCGTATGACCCACTGCGAAGGCCATATCTTAGGAAATATTCATCCGATTCTTGAACGGAATACCTTAAACGATTTGTGGATCGATTTTCCATAAATCTTCATCAAAATCTGGGAACAAAATATTTTTAAGATTTTTTGTCAAATTTTCTGGGCTGTCCCCTTCAAAATGTGCAGAATGCATGGGGAGCCCCATTTGACCCACTGCGAAGGCCATATCTTAGGAAATATTCATCCGATTCTTGAACGGAATACCTTTAACGATTTGTGGATCGATTCTTCATAAATCTGCATCAAAATCTGGGAACAAAATATTTTTAAGATTTTTTGTCAAATTTTCTGGGCTGTCCCCTTCAAAATGTGCAGAATGCATGGGGAGCCCCGTATGACCCACTGCGTAGGCCATATCTTAGGAAATATTCATCCGATTCTTGAACGGAATACCTTAAACGATTTGTGGATCGATTCTCCATAAATCTGCATCAAAATCTGGAAACAAAATATTTTTAAGATTTTTTGTCAAATTTTCTGGGCTGTCCCCTTCAAAATGTGCAGAATGCATGGGGAGCCCCATTTGACCCACTGCGAAGGCCATATCTTAGGAAATATTCATCCGATTCTTGAACGGAATACCTTAAACGATTTGTGGATCGATTCTTCATAAATCTGCATCAAAATCTGGGAACAAAATATTTTTAAGATTTTTTGTCAAATTTTCTGGGCTGTCCCCTTCAAAATGTGCAGAATGCATGGGGAGCCCCATTTGACCCACTGCGAAGGCCATATCTTAGGAAATATTCATCCGATTCTTGAACGGAATACCTTTAACGATTTGTGGATCGATTCTTCATAAATCTGCATCAAAATCTGGGAACAAAATATTTTTAAGATTTTTGTCAAATTTTCTGGGCTGTCCCCTTCAAAATGTGCAGAATGCATGGGGAGCCCCGTATGACCCACTGCGTAGGCCATATCTTAGGAAATATTCATCCGATTCTTGAACGGAATACCTTAAACGATTTGTGGATCGATTCTCCATAAATCTGCATCAAAATCTGGAAACAAAATATTTTTAAGATTTTTTGTCAAATTTTCTGGGCTGTCCCCTTCAAAATGTGCAGAATGCATGGGGAGCCCCATTTGACCCACTGCGAAGGCCATATCTTAGGAAATATTCATCCGATTCTTGAACGGAATACCTTAAACGATTTGTGGATCGATTCTTCATAAATCTGCATCAAATATTTTTAAGATTTTTTGTCAAATTTTCTGGGCTGTCCCCTTCAAAATGTGCAGAATGCATGGGGAGCCCCGTATGACCCACTGCGTAGGCCATATCTTAGGAAATATTCATCCGATTCTTGAACGGAATACCTTAAACGATTTGTGGATCGATTCTCCATAAATCTGCATCAAAATCTGGGAACAAAATATTTTTAAGATTTTTTGTCAAATTTTCTGGGCTGTCCCCTTCAAAATGTGCAGAATGCATATGGAGCCCCATATGACCCACTGCGAAGGCCATATCTTAGGAAATATTCATCCGATTCTTGAACGGAATACCTTAAACGATTTGTGGATCGATTCTCCATAAATCTGCATCAAAATCTGGGAACAAAATATTTTTAAGATTTTTTGTCAAATTTTCTGGGCTGTCCCCTTCAAAATGTGCAGAATGCATATGGAGCCCCATATGACCCACTGCGAAGGCCATATCTTAGGAAATATTCATCCGATTCTTGAACGGAATACCTTAAACGATTTGTGGATCGATTCTTCATAAATCTGCATCAAAATCTGGGAACAAAATATTTTTAAGATTTTTTGTCAAATTTTCTGGGCTGTCCCCTTCAAAATGTGCAGAATGCATGGGAGCCCTGTATGACCCACTGCGTAGGCCATATCTTAGGAAATATTCATCCGATTCTTGAGCGGAATACTTTAAGCGATTTGTGGATCGATTCTCCATAAATCTGCATCAAAATCTGGGAACAAAATATTTTTAAGATTTTTTGTCAAATTTTCTGTGCTGTCCCCTTCAAAATGTGCAGAATGCATGGGGAGCCCCGTATGACCCACTGCGTAGGCCATATCTTAGGAAATATTCATCCGATTCTTGAGCGGAATACTTTAAACGATTTGTGGATCGATTTTCCATAAATCTTCATCAAAATCTGGGAACAAAATATTTTTAAGATTTTTTGTCAAATTTTCTGGGCTGTCCCCTTCAAAATGTGCAGAATGCATGGGGAGCCCCATATGACCCACTGCGAAGGCCATATCTTAGGAAATATTCATCCGATTCTTGAACGGAATACCTTAAACGATTTGTGGATCGATTCTTCATAAATCTGCATCAAAATCTGGGAACAAAATATTTTTAAGATTTTTTGTCAAATTTTCTGGGCTGTCCCCTTCAAAATGTGCAGAATGCATGGGGAGCCCCGTATGACCCACTGCGTAGGCCATATCTTAGGAAATATTCATCCGATTCTTGAGCGGAATACTTTAAGCGATTTGTGGATCGATTCTCCATAAATCTGCATCAAAATCTGGGAAAAAAATATTTTTAGAATTTTTGACAAATTTTCTGTGCTGTCCCCTTCAAAATGTGCAGAATGCATGGGGAGCCCCGTATGACCCACTGCGTAGGCCATATCTTAGGAAATATTCATCCGATTCTTGAGCGGAATACTTTAAACGATTTGTGGATCGATTTTCCATAAATCTTCATCAAAATCTGGGAACAAAATATTTTTAAGATTTTTTGTCAAATTTTCTGGGCTGTCCCCTTAAAAATACCCTTCAATGTACCCTGAAAAAATTTTGCCCACTGGGCCTTTTTCCTTAAATCTGCCACTGCTGGAGAACGAGTCGAGCAGCACTCTTTCTTCAAGAAAGCTAGAGCTTCGCTATATTGTCAGCTGAAGGATATCTGGAAACTAAAACAGAGACATACGTAAGTAGGTTTATCCATTCGATAGGATGGAGTGCTGGTGTGAACCTCCAGAAGACGAGGACTGTTATGGACGACTCAATCTATGATACTCGTGAGGACGCTTTTATTGTTTTTATCGTGAAAATATTTTTATTCCAAAAGCCCATAGAAAGTCCTCCAAATAAAACAGAAAGTATATATATGGTATCTTTTAAAGGAACTTTAAATTCTTTATCATGTGGAATGTTTCAAATATTTGATAAGAGCCCACGTAGAAATATTGACTAAAAATAGTGAAAAAGGGCTATTGGCAGTACTAGGCCATAAGTTCGTACCGTTCGAGAGTGGCCTTTGCCCTGTCAATGCACCTTTGGACCCTTTAGAAATGTATAGAGTTTCATAAGAGTTTTTCATATCTTCGTTTTTTTTTAAGCTTCAAAGCTCGTAACATCCTTGACATGTTCCCCTTAAAGATCAGATTAAAGTCAGAATTGGTTATAAAAATGTATTTTTAAATAGAAGACTCTTCTTTGTAATGAAGAGCTAACGTACGGAGGTGGCATCTCTGGGTTATCGAGCGAGAATCGGGATTAACCGTGGTTGCCGGCCAGGTCTCGTCGGCTAATGGGTGGGTCCTGGAAAGCTCCCTTCTCTCTCCCTGATGCTTGCCTCTTGGATCGTAATTGGATCGATTATAAAGCGTGCACGACCTCACATATTGCGAAGTTCAAACAAAGTCTCCTCTGAATCGATGGATCAGGACGCATCATGGTCCTCGAGAATCTTAAAGGGTTGAGCCTCGGAGGTCGAAGGGTTCTTCACTTCATTATAAATTCCATATTTATTCCTTAAAAAGAATTCCCCCTATCTCTTACTTATACTAACAACCCAATACCTTTCCTTATCGTGCTTTTCTAAAATTGAATCCATATGTTCCATAAATAATAGGGACTTACTCCCTCTTTATATGAGTACGGAACTAAAAGATATCTTAAAAGATTTCGATTTAATTATACCCTTGCAGAGGTTTATATTTTAAGGAAAGCTTTATTTATATTGATTTTCACTCTACTTAATTTCGGAATCTAGAATCTTCACTTCACTATTTAGATTACTCACAATCTGGATTTAAATTTAATAAAAAAATAATAATATTAGCTTTAAACTTTTTACTTTTAATACTTACCAAAGGAGTTTAGGAAATAATTCAAAGAAAAGAGTTATTTAAACTAAATTTTCCCTATTTATTTGTAAAGTTCGACCAGACTTCCTTGATAAAAAGAAACTTTTCTTTAGTTCTCAATTATTTTGATGTTTATTCACGCTTGTTGTTCTTACTTTCTCCACTCACCAAACAGAATACAAGAAGTTGGCAACAGCAAAGTGTGACACAATGTCCTTTCTTCAAATTTTTGTAATTTTTTGCCCATCACTCTGCTGTTGCCCGAAACTTTTGGGGACAATTTAGAAATAAAGGGGAGAATTGTATAGAAGGGACATACATTTGGGTAGAACATACATAACACATTCCTCAAATCCTACGCTGATTTTTTTTCACTGTTTTTGTGTCATTGTGTCGGGTGTAAGAGGTGTTTCTGTGTGTGTTTTTTAAGGTGTACTAAATTTTTTTTTGGTTTTTTTGGGGTTCTGCACAATTAAAAAGCTCAATTTCATGCTTATCATATAAACGATTTAGTTTTAGATCGCTAGGTTAGTAAATGTTTAGTTTAGTTTTGGATTCGCAGCTGCTGCACTTAAAAATCTCATTGCTTTGATTCAAGTTTAGTAGTTTAGTAGTTTGTAGGTTAAGGTTAGGCTAGGTGTTCGATATCGATACCGATATCGTTATCGATATCGATTTTTTTTCGTTTAAGATCAACGGCTTGAAAGTTCCGATAGCGGCGGTTCCGAGTGATAAGTGAAGAAATAGGCGAGAGGGCATGATCGTTGTCAGATGACTAATAGTTGGATGAATAGTATGCTCATATGGAATATAGATAGCATGTTGTATATGGGGTATGTATGCAGATAGGGATCGGAGGTCGAAGGACCTCCGAGGCTTGGAACTCGTATGCTTGTATGTATGTATATCTAGTATTATGTATGGGGGGATTTGAGTAAATATGAGAGGCATAGAGCTGTTGTATATATGTATATATCTAGTAGTGTCCTGGGGTAGTATCGTTATCTCCTCTCCTCGTTATCCTGTATAATCGTTATATAATATGCCACGGCCTTCTGCTTTGCTTAACTTCATATAAAACTAGTTTTTTTTTTTGGATTTCTTAGTTTTTTGTTTCGTTTTTAAATGTATATGCATGTATTATTTATGTATATATTGATTTATGCGGTATGGTGTGTATGTCTAAGGATGATTTTCAATCACTTATTGTTACGTACGGTGTTTGGTATAACATGCTTCGCTTGGACTAGCTCGATGGCCGTTACTTTCTTGGCTTTCTCCGTTTCTCCATTTAGTATTCTCCTCCTTTAATCTAACCTTCTTTGTCTACACTCCCCTTATCTGGTTAACATATATATATATATATATAAAGCATTTTGGGTTTTATCTTTCGGTTTTTTGGGGTTTTTTCTTCGGGTTTCTGTGTTCAAATGAGCAACGAAAACTTATCGCACAACTTTGCCGATTCTGGCGATGGCCGTAATAATCGATAATCGATAATCGATAACCGTTAGCGGCAAGCGAAGCACTGAGAGCGGAGCAAAACGGGGGAGCCTAAAACGGACGGATTGGTACCGTTAGGTGTAACGGTTAACCGTTCGATGCCTGTTCTTGTTTTTAGTGTTTTTCTGTGTTTTTGTTTCTCATTTCGTTATCGTTATCGTTTTGTTATCGTTATCGCTATCGTTATCGTTATGCATAAGTAATGGCCTGAGGTGCTCCTCCTAATCGAGATCAGTATTTTTTGTGTGGTTTTTTTTTCTTACCCCCTTTTCTGTGTGTGTCTTCCTGTGGGTGACTTACTTCCTTTCCCTTTTTCTTTTTTTTTTTTTGATTACGCCATTATCATGCAGTTACATATATATGCAATATATATATATATATCTATATGTCTATATATATTATATAGAAAGTGATCATCACACAAGCACACATGAACACCCGTAAACCCTCAGGTGTTCATGTGCAGGTGTGTGCGTTTGTGTTTGTTTTTGTGCCGGTGTGCTTGTCGTGTTTGTGTCTGTGTGTGTGTGTCTTGGCTATATGTCCAAATATATATATATATTTATTTAATAATATATTGTGGTCCTATAGCCCTAGGTGTTTATCGACTTTGCTTAGCGGGTTCAACTGCAGCTCCGTCTAAGGCCGCGTGCTTAGAGCTTCTTGTACCAGTACAGATAGTGCTCGCCGTCCTCGACCATTAGTTCGTCCACACCTGGAAAGAAAGTTTAATAGGGATCTTTATAGAATTTATGTAATATCAAAGATTCAACAAAACTTGGCAGCACTCGAACAGACTAGGCACAACTTGGTAACACTTCTTAAAAGAAGCACAGAAAAAGAACAACATGACTAGCATTATTAAAATTAACGAATCAAAAATAGGTGGGGATTGTAATAAGAATCCTTAGGATAGTATCTCTATGATCCACATATTTGCTATTTATTTGATTACATTATTTTCAAATATTCGGAAAACGAAACAACTTGGCAGCACTTGACAAAAGTAGCCAAAGCTTGGTAGCACTTTTGATGGAAAGCTTTTTTTTTAGAAATTTTAGAAAAACCTTATAAAATCCAATAAAGAATATCTATAGAAGACTCCCGTACTGTGTCCTGTACTGGTGTTGTACGCTCTTGTTTTTTTGAAAATTGACAAACTTGGCAGCACTTGAAAAAAAAACAAAACTTGGTAGCACTACTACAATACTAATACTAACAACAGAAAGAACAGAATGGTGAGAAACCCTTTACAATATCCAAAAAAGGACACTAAAATAAAATTAGGAGTACGATTGATTTCTAGGATCTTTATCTTTATCTTTATGATTTCTAGGAAATATTCGATCAATGACGAAACTTCCAAGTTACTTCCAAATTATTCGAAAACCTCTTAAAACTTACCAACAGGCGCAATAAGCTGATTCCCAGGCGTATTGTTGGGATCGGGCAGCTCTGGCAGACGATAGAGTAGCCAGTAATGATACCTGAACAAATTTAAATAAATATATTTACTGAAGGATACTAAAGGACATAAGAAGGTAATACAAACCCTCGTGGCTCCTCCTTTTTGCCGTAGAGAGTGTGCACATAGTGTCCGTTTGGCCATTCACGAGCCTCGAAAATGAATCTGAAAGGGATGCGATGGATATTTTTAATATTAGAATTAATTATTAGATATTAAGTATTTATGTAAGCATAATCAAGTTGAGCAAGTTATCTTTTCCATCCTAAAATATCGATTTATTTTTAAAAGCTTCGAAACATTTGTAACCGAAAAGTATCGGGTATCAAACATTGAAATAAAAATTGATCCTCTATGAATTTCATGCATATCTATGAGTTTTAAAGGATTATATGAGTTCTATATTTAAAATTATAACTTATAGATAAAATATTGAAAATATTTTTAAATTAAAAAGTATTGGGTATCGTATAGTTGATAAGTTATAACATACCCTTCGTATGAAACTCACCTGGGATCCATTTCGGCCGCCTGGGTCATGGCCTTGAAGAAGCTGGTGTTCTTGGGCGAGACCAGCGAGAGGGAGAAGGCCTCGGTGACGTTGGAGCCCACCCACAAGGTGTACGTGTAGGAGATGTTCTTGCCATCCGACTCCTCGGCGGAGAAGGTCAGGCCGAAGGGCAAGGCCAACTTTGGTTCGCCGTTCTCTGTGGGAAGAGGAGCATTACAGATTGGAAAGAAAACACTAGGATTTAAAGCTCACCCGTGGGGTCGCTGCTTTCGCGTATCACATGGTCGCACTGTAGGGCACGTACGGCGCCCAATCCCTTCCAGCCGAGGGCCAGGATAATGTCCGCCGTGAGTCCGACACCGATGTCCGGCTCCTGGCCATCCTGAAGGGGCTCCTCGCTCCAGCCCCCGTCCGCCCGCTGGCGACTGAGGATGTAACGGGAGGCGGCCGTCCTGTTCCAGTGGCCGGCGGGGTCGTACTCCAGATCCTGGAGAGCCTGCATGGCCAGGGCGGTGCTGCGCAGGGAGCCGAAGCTGCCACGCTGATCCTGCAGACTGGCCAGTCCCCGGGCAGGCCGGCGAACGAAGTGCTGCAGGTGCCGATGTCGGTGATCGGTGACGATGCACCTCAGGGCCAGGATCACCATGGCAATGGCGTCCACACTCTGGTCCGTCACCCCACTGGCGATGTCCAGCAGCCGCCGGATCTGGCGCTTGCGGACATGGGCCGCCGAGCTGCAGGCGGAGAGCGTGGTGAGGGCGAACTCCAGGTCCTGGGCCGGCTCGTGATGCTGCAGAGTGGCCACCAGGTCGTGGCCGTGAAAGTGCTTCGGATCCTTGCACAGAGAGCCAAGGGCCAGGACATACCGCGCCAGCTTGTCCAGGTCCAGGGGCTTAGGCAGCGTGTGATGGCGATCCAGCATGGCCAGGATCTCGATCTCCATCTCCTTCACGGACAGCGTGTCCTCCAGCTCCTGGATGATCTGCACATGCCCGTCGACACTGTCGTTGGGGTCCCTGCCGCCGGACAGCTCCTTGGCCAGGATCACCACGTGGGTATCGTTTCCCCAGCCGTAGTCCGAGGCGCGTTTCTCCTTCAGCCAGTCCAGAGCCCGGAGTATCGCCTCCTGCTCCCCCTTGGTGGGCGGGGCAGGTCCTATGATCTGCGGCTCATGAGTCCCGTTGGGCGCTGTGGCCGTGGCCAGGATACCCTGCACTCCGCCGGACGACTCCTCCGCCCCAGCAGATGTTGCCGTTGTTGAGGGGCTGCTGCTGCTGCTGCTGCTGGTTGGTTGTTGCATGTTGCTGTTGTAGCTCGCGTTGTAGTTGCTGCTCAGGTTGCTGTTGAAGTTGCTGATGCTGATGGTGCTGTGGTTCGCGTTGGTGTTGCTGCTGCTGGCCACCTCGTCGCTGGCTTCGTTGTTGCTGCTCAGGGTGAGATTCTCCAGGTCGGAGGCCGTCGGCGCCGAGGCAGCTGTGCTGAAGCTAACGGGAAACGGAGCCGCCACCGATGCCGCCGATGCGTTAAACGCCGATGCTGGCAGCGCCGCCAACGTCACATTCTCCGACGCCGCGTAACTGGAGTTCGCCGTGGCGCCTCCGTTCCTGACGAGGCAGAGGAGCAAGGGCAGCAGCAGCGACAGCATCTTGGCCAGGATTCTAAAAAGGGATATAATTTTAATAATAATAAAATATAATATAAATTCTAAATTAAGTTAAATATATATTTTAGGTTAAAAAGTATATAAATAATACCCATTTATTAGTTAAAATAATATAAAAAAATGTGAATAAAGTTTATCCTTTACATTTAAATAATTTTTTTTTGTTTAAGGGAGTATTTAACTATTAAACATTATCTTTAAATAAACATATGTTTTAAGAACTTATATCTTTAAATTCTAACGCAGAGGCTCATCTTTTGAAAGAAGTTTCTTTAAAAAAACGAAAGAAATAAACAAAAAAGATTAAAAAAAACATAAAAAACCTTGAATAGCTCATCAAATTATTTCCTAAAAAATAATCAAAATAAAAACTTAACCCAACCAAGGACTAAATTTTAAATAAAAATTAAATTAATTGACTTAATAGCTTTCATAATTAAATTCCGAGATGAGATCGGCTTTAATTTAATTGAATTTCTTTGTCGCAGGATAATAAAGGACGAAAAGGCCAATTTGTGGTGGGGTGGGGAGTGGAGGGGAGGGGAGGTGAGGCAGGAGAACAAGAGAAAATTGAAAGGAGACAAGAGACAAGAAGACAGAGGCGTTGCCTTGAACTGAATTTTGCAGCTCACGTCATGCAACTTATCGAGAATTGCCTGTGCGGCGATCGATAAGCTCGCCCCTGACCCTAGACCCCTGCCCCTCTCTGTGTTACATGCCCCCTGCCACATGCCACCTGCTACCTGCCAGATGCCACCTCCCAGGACCCTGGCACTTAGTCATCAAATCAAATAAATGCAACAGCAACAACACGGCCCGTAGACAAAGTCCTTTTGCCTTTTTTGTTCGCTTGTGTTGGTGAAGGGTGGCATAAGGATACCAGAAGGGTAGCTCAAGTGCTGCAGGGATAGTGGCTGGCGAGAGGGGTGGCGGAGGGGGCGGCAGGACGACGACGACAACGACAACGACGTTCAATTGCCTTTGACAATACGGAGTTCATTGCGGGGCACAAAATCACACACAACAAAAAAAAAAACACAGGCTTACATAATAATAATACAATAACAACACAACTCACAGGACGAAAAGGATATCCCACCACGAATCGGAGACGTAAGCTATATATTCCGAATATAGCTATCCGACTTTTTTTTTAATTCACTTCTCCCAGTCGCTCTTTGTTCGATTTTGGCGACTCTATATATGCGTATATATATATGTCTTGGAGAGGTGTTTTGTGATATTTCCGTTTCCGGGGGCTAAAGGGGGACCAGGGACGAAGGGGAATATCCTTTGTTCTTCGAAAAAAATAACAAAATTTTGGGCACAAACAAAGGGAATTTAGTTTTCCGGACTTTTCGTTATTTTTTTTCGTTTAATTGAATTTACGGACGGGGCGGGGACACTATTTTTATAATTATTTTTTGCTCCGTCTATATTTTGTGTCCTTTTTGGCTCGCGTCCTGCGTTTCTGCGATTTCCGTTGGGGCGAACCTTTTAGCTTTTTTTGGCTCGCACGACATTTACCAACCTTGTTTTTCGGTGTTTTGCAATACAGTTATAAAGCGAAGCGTTTTCAAGCACTGATTTTCTGCTGGGCTTTAATTTCGAAACAATTTTATTTTTTTAAATATTAATAACTGAAACAATAATCAATCAATAATTTTTTAAATGTAATCCTTTTATTTTTCAGAATATTTCACAGCACTTTTCTTGTCCTTTAAAAAGAGTAGCGTTTTAGGCTTATTTAGGGTTTGAAACTTTGTTGCTGGTTTTGTTACAGGATTCTTTTGTAGCCAGGACATCTTTTAGTAGTGCTACCTAGCGCTTGAGGGCGCTAGTTGTCCAAAGACAGAATCGTTTGTCCCAAATTTTTTTGAATTTTTGCGCCAAATTGTTATTTAATTAGTTTTCTGTTTAGTATTTATGACTATCTGAAATTTATTTGTTGAAAATATTAATGTTATCTTTTAGAATTATTAAATATTTAAGAACAAACCTTGTTAGTTTTTTTAATTTGTTGTTTTTAATTTGAAAGATATTGTATAATCATTAAGTTTTTGTTTTTAATATGGACTTCTTTTTAAGATTTTGTGTATATATTTTGTTTATATGTTGTTTAATTTTAAATTTCAAAATTAAATTATAAATAGGTTTGGTGAGGACTTTTATTTATTATTTATTTGCGGCTTAAATGCTAGACCAAGAATTTAAATATTTATTTAAATTATTTGGTTAACTGCAACTTGTGGAGTTTTGTGCAGACCCTGTTGCTTTTTCTATCTCTTTCTCCTGGCCTTGGTGCTGTCTCGTTTCAAGTGGCTAAAATGAGGGTGATATATATATTAAATGTGTGTACATATTGTCCGATATCCAGTCAGTCAGTCAGTCAGTCAATGTGCTAGCTGGATATGTAATTCGATATAGTTCTGTGTTGGCCGCAAAAGCCGACAATCAAAATGCCGCCGAGACCGTCCGACCGCCAAATGGACGCCGCACTGGCCCTGCTCCCCCTGCTCATGCCCTCCTCGCAGCACCATATCCATATCCATATCCATGTCCTGATTCCAGACTTGCCGATGATGATTGCCTGTCATTTTGGAACGTTTGCGAGCAATTAAAAGAACAAGCATCCAGCCAGCCATCCGTATCGGTTACCGCCGACAAAATGGAATGAAATCTATATGGGGAATCCGGGGACCGGCAAGGAATGAACAAAGGAAGGAAGTTGGAAGTTGGGAAGTTGCCAGCCGCTGCCCGCGAGTCCTGTGATCCCATTGTGCAGTTATGACAGGCGTCCCCCTTTTAGCCGGCAGGATCCTTTCCACAATAAAACACACCCAAGGGAAAATGTTCGCTGGGATTATGGCTCTGAATAGGCCAATCGGATATTAGCAGGATATGCTAATTTATTTCCAGAAAGTGCTTGAAAACGCGAGAGGGTTTTTATAGCTCGAAGGGTGGAGGAATATCATCGTTTATATTTTGGTTTTATTTTTCAAGAAATTGTGGATATTTAAAAAGCTTTTTATACCTTATTTGTGACGAAAGTATTTTAATTTTTAACAGGTTTTTAGGGGATATAAAAGGGGATTTTTCTTAAAAAGTAATTTGGAAGTAAATATTAAGAAAACTTAGAAATTATATAAGCAATGAATTGTTGTATTTTTAAATGAGAGAACTTTTGTTACGAAGCTAAAGGTTATTTTTAACAAATGAATTTCAATTTGTTAGATTTTTTTAAGTATAAGTTTTGTTATTAAACGAATTCAAAGAAGAATCTATGAACTTTATTAAAAAAAATTACTTTCTTGAAATGTACTTTAAATTTGCAAAAACATAAAACCCAATTTATTAAATAATATAAAATTGTATCCAATAAATATACAACCTATTAGTAATATTTCTCCCTGGCTGTATGAATGTTTTTTATGACAAAGTCGTCGGCCACTTCAAAAAGTCGGAGCCCAAGCTTTTGTCCAACTTCTTGGACGAATTCCGGCGGGTTGGTCGTTGCTCCTTACTCCTTAGTACTTAGTCCTTGTTTTTGTTTATTGTTTATTTTTTTGTATGCGGGATCCTCGACAGCTGGCTGCACGCACAATTTGAGGCGATTGATCCTGGAGGATTTGCGGGTAATCCGGGGACAACTCTTTCGTATCTTGTATCTGTAAGTGCGTCTATCTAAGAGCGGCAATCGCAGCTACTTAGCTTCTCGGCTTAGACTTAAATGGTGGCCTAAACATCCTTTCGGCAAGGATATCAACTCTCGGCATCGGCGTCGACGTCGGCAATCGGAATCCCTTGTCTAGCATTCCCCCCCTCCCCCGAAACGAAGCCAATTGTCTGTTTCCGCCGACTCACACAAAAAAAATGAGAAGAAAAGGAAGCACCTTCAGCTCATTATCGGAAATCTTGAAATCATCGAAGGATGATTCTTTGTAGAAATGCGAGGGAGTGAGCCCAAGGAGCCCAATGAGATCCTGCGCAATATTTGGCAACCCAATTACTTTGTTTGCTTAGCCGACAAACTGTTTATTCAAGGATCCAGAACCAGATCGAAATCGAGGCCTCCAGGTCCCTGCATCCTGCAGAACAATAGAGCCATACAGCCTTGAGCTATTATCCTGCCGCTGGCTGGATCGCTAACGAAATTCACGTTTCACGTTTTTGCGCAATCGAAACAATTGTGTTCGAGGGAGATTGAAAGCACCGACGAGTCCTGCGAGTCCTGTGAGTCCTGCCTCGATTTCAATTCAACCAAATAGACAGATGATAGCTGATAAAAAAAAAATGTACATATATACATGTATAAGGGAGCCGACACCGAAACCGAAATGGTAACAACAAAAAAAAGCGGAATAAATAAACAATAATAAAGGGAGAAAGTAAATCCGACGAGGGCACTGAACTGCAACCAAAAATATCCACCAATTATCCTGGATTCAACAAATTGGGTTACTTCCAGGACTATGATTGAAGCGTGAATATAAAATATTTATGGATAAAAAAGGTAGGTTTGTGCTCAGGATATAGATAGACCAATAAAAAAATTGTTTGAAAAATAAAAATATCACATTTTTGACAAAGATAAAGCATTCTCTGTGGGTCCAATAGAGGTTTCGTACCTTTTTTCATAATTTATATGGTACCCTCTAGAAAATATGATAAAAAGTTTTAAAAATATTTTGTAGCAAGATTTTAAGGGACTGTATTGGAGAATATAGCTTAAAATCATTTAAGCTATTTTGCTTTTGGATAGGATGAAAATTAGAAAAGATATAGAAATAGTAAGAAGCAACTTGAAAATCTCCCTCAACAATAAGAAAAATTCCAAAAAAACACAAGTTGTTTTAAGGTTTTGATACAGAAGGATGGAATATCGATCCACAAATAGCTTGGAGAATCGGTTCACATTTTGAGAAAATATAGATGTTGTAAGCTGTCGTATATAGACAACCTGCAAAAGGATGCATATTGTACTAAGCAACATGAATTTAAAATATAGTTTAAGAGCTTTAGCTATTTCACTATGTCGAGTCCTTTTTTTTCGAGTTAGTTTTTCGTCTACTAACATAGGCGTTTGTCGCTTGACAAGTTGATATCTTAGTAAATATATGCAATTAGTTCTTAATATTTTGGAAACGACTGCGGTTGGTGATTATATACACATTTGCATAAAAGAAAATTCTTCCAAAAAATAGCTCTTACGGTATTTTTGCAAATAGGGCTCGATATGCTACTAAATAAAATTATCTCATTTGTTTTTGTATTTTTCCAGGATAGATCCCCTGGTATTATTTTCTTTCAATTAAATCTTTCAGATAATAATCTTTAATCAAAATCTTCATCCAAAGAAGCCATGAAAGGTATCTGTATATCTTTTGTGTAATTCCAATGAAGTGTGTGTTAATTAACTTATATTTCCGATTTCCCTGGAGGTTAACAGAAACTTTCTCCCGGGAATTTCCCGTAGTCATAGCATTGCCCCCTTCCGCCAAGGATTCTCACTCCCTCGTATATTTTTTTCTCTGTGTGTTTTCCGTGCATGTCTAAGAAAAAATCTCATTAAACGAAATCCGATGATTCCAGGCGTAACATTGCACTGACCCAGCAATATAGATTTTCCTTGGACGCAGTTCAAAGGAAAAGGCAGGCTTCCTTTTTTTTTTTGCCTTGGTTTTCGGTGGGGCAGAGGATTGGCAGGATATGCCAGGGTATGACTGGATATGGCAGGATATTCAGACTGGGTTATGGCTGGTGGAACGGACACCGGCACGGACGTAGCAGGGTTGTCATAGCAACGCAGGATAACGCGTCACTTTACGTGTCGAATTCGGGTGTTGGCAGCCATATTTGCTCTTATAGCGCTTTACTTTTCCTCGCTTTTTGCCAGAAAACCCTCCCCTATATATCAACCCTCCTTTACCGTTATATACTCTATATATAGATGAGCTTGTATATTGTAATACATATATAGCGTACATGTCTGGGGTGGCTGCGGGGCGTCCCTTTGTCACGCTACTCCCAACCTTTTCAGCCATCATCGTCCTTATCAGCCTGCCCCTCGTCCTTTGGTCCTTGGCCTGCTGCTTTTTGGCCATGGCCGTGGATCTGCCACTGAATTTTTGGCCCGAACCTGAAGCGAAAACTCTTCAGCCCAAAAACACAAAGAAAATCTTTTAGTTTGTCTTAAATATTTTTAATAAAAATATTAAACTTTTTTTCTTGCTTTTTATAAATTGGAAAATTATAGAAAATATTGAAAAATATTAAGAACTTTTTTATTTAAATGATTTTTACTATTAGCTTCTCTCAAATTATTAGAAACTAATTTGTAAATATTACTTTACTTTTTCATTAATTATGGTATTTCTTTCTGTGTAGCGACTGGTATGTCCTTGTTTTATTTTCGCCTTAGTGTCATCTGTTGTCCTGTCCTGTCGCGTCCTGCCTCCTCTGTGTCGTGTCCTGTCGCCTGCCGCCTCCTGTTCTCGTCC